CAGCTTTGCATTCCACAATGCCATTCAAAAGATGTTGGTTCAGTATGGGCACCTGGATGGCTGTTGGTTGAGTGTCTGACTTCAACTCAGGTCATAATCTCTGATTCATGATTTCAAACCCCACATCAGGCTTGGTGCTGTCAGCCTGTCAGCACAGAGCCCATTTCAGATCCTCTGTCCCCCTCTCTCTGCCCCTCCCTTCTCTCAAAAAAAATTTTTTTAAAAAGATGTTGAATAAATAATGAAGTAAAACAGCTTTCCAAATAACTTCTACAAATCATTCCATTAGAAACCAGTAAATCATTTATAGGATACTCTCTTTAAAAATTCACATTTTCCTCAAGCTCAGACACAAGGTGGAATGTATTTGGGGAAAATGTATTTGGAAGACAGTTGTTAGGTGCTTACAGTTTGCCGAGCTCCTTTGTCAGGCCCCAAGAATACAGAGGAGGTCGGGTCTGCCAAGTGGATAAGACAGATATGACATCAGGTCTCGACTATCCAGTGAACAAGGGCCCACTTACAGGAGGGCACCAAAAAGAGGGTCATAAATGGGGCTCAGGCCCAAGAAGGCTTCACTCAGGAGGCCCACCAGGCCTTACGAAGCAGATGAGGGTAAGGAAGAAAGCAGGTGCAAAGGCTTTGGACTGTAAAGCATGGATATGTTAGGGAGGGTGCAGAGCTGGCTGTCTGTAGCAGTAAACACTGTGGTTAAGAGCCTTGACTTTGGGATCAGACTGACTTGGGTTCAAATTCTGATTTCACCACTTACTAACTAGGAGTTTCTTCATCCTTCTGAGCCTACATTTCCTCATCTGTAAAATGGGCAGAATTATCATAGTATCAACTTCCTCACAGATTCAACAAATACACACCAAGTGCCTACTATGTACCACACACTGTCCTAGGTGTTGGGGACACAGCTGTGAATGTAACAAAGGCTCTGTCCTGATGGTGCTTACATTCTGGCAATGTAATGGATGTAGAGCATGGAGCACAGGCACTGGCTATGGTTGTGAGTGCAGATCAGGGGGCACAGTGGGAGATGAGGCTGGATTCCCACGTGAGGAACCTCGAATGCCCCTCTATGGGAAGACGCAGGAGAGCAGGCCCAGATGCATGGAGGCCTGGCCTGCTCACTCCCTGGACCTCTGCCCTGCACCCCCCTCAGCTACCAGCGGAAGTGGGATGAGCTGGCTGTGCAGGAGAAGCTGTTCCGCCAGGAGTTTGAGCAGCTGGCCAACAACAAGAAGGAGATTGTGGCCTTCCTCAAGCGCACACTCAACCAGAGGGTAGATGAGATCACTGAACTCAATGAGCAGCTCCAAAGCCTGCAGCTGGCCAAGGAGATGGAGAAGGACGCCTTTGAGGCACAGCTAGCCCAGGTGCGCCATGAGTTCCAGGAGACCAAGGACCACCTCACCACGGAGAACATCATCCTTGGTGAGGAGGGCACTGGCAGGCGAGTTCGGGGGCACACACCACAGGGACGGGGAGCCCAATGATCCTGCTCTTTGGGCTCTAATCCCAGCTCTACCACTGACTTTGTGGCCTTAGGCAAGCACTTCTCCTAGACCTCCAGGTTTCTCATCTGGGAAATGGGGATAATACGTGTACCTTGAGTAACAGCACCTATGTGCTGCTTCCCACACATTACCTTCCATGATGGTCCCAGCCATCATCCAAGGCAGGAAATACTATCACACACACATACACACCTGTCCCCATTTGTAGGTGAGGAAGCACCTCAAGAAGTTGAAGGGTCTTGCCCAAGGTCACCCAGCTGGCAAGCTTTTTTTTTTTTTTTTTTGAGGCTTAAGGACAGCAGTAGTGCCTGGCCCAGAGAAGTTGTTCAAGTTTAATGGCTGTTGTCACTGTCACTTTCCAGAAAACAGAGGTCAAGGGAGGTTTTTCTAAAGCAGTGAAACCTGAATGAGGCTTCGTAAGATTAGTGGTGGGGAAGAGAGGGCATTTCAGACAGAAACCATGGACACGGGCAGGACGGGGCATGGCGTCTCGCAGGGACAGGGGTCTGGCCTTACTGGATCAGGAAGCACAAGGAGGAGGTTGTGGAGGAAGCGGGGAGGGAAGCGGGGCTCCAGGCCATCGCTATCCTCCCGAGGCGGCCCCTCACCAGGCCTGTGCCCTGTGGTGGGGCAGGGGGCAAGCTGGCAGCTCTGGAAGAGTTCCGGCTGCAGAAAGAGGACCTCACAGAGAAGTTCACAACGCTGGAGGACCAACTACGGAGGCAGGAGAGCGAACACAAGGACTACATGTACAGCCTGGAGAAGAAGTCTGTGCTGGACAAGGACAGGTGGGCGGGCTGGGGCCAAGCCCAGCTCAGGCCTCCCACAGCCTCTGCTTCGAACCGCACTAGCTCAGGGACTCCCCAGTCTGCTGCAGCTCAGAACCCTGGCTGGTGATGTAAGGAGGGGAGGAGAAAATAGATAAGCTCCCAGCTCCAGCCCTCCCACGGGACCGGCGAATCCTTGGACTTCCTCTTGCCACTTTTCGTGACTTAAATTACACTTATTTAATAGGTAATAATACATTGATATGGTTCAAAAGGCCACAGGGTCTATAGGGGCTCTACCTGGAGCCCCGCCCCTCCTGGGAGACCGAGCATGGAGGCGGCCCTAAGCGCTCTGGGGAACCCCACCTGGGAGGGTGGTGTCTGTGCCCACTCTGCCTGACACCCCCTCATTCCCGCCCATGACTAGACTGAGGAAGGAGATCATCCAGCGCGTGAACCTGGTGGCCTCTGAGTTCCGGAAGCTGGCCACTAGCCAGATGTGGGACACGACAAAGCGGGCCATCATAGAGAACAGCACGGTCACCCTGCAGCTGTCCAAAGTATCTCGGCAAGGCGCACAGCTGCTCCAGGAGAACGAGCAGCTCAAGGGCACCCAGGACAAGCTGTGCAAACAGCTGGATCTGTTGGAGAACACCCAGAAGGTCATGGCCAGCCACAGCAGAGGCCACCAAAAGGTGTGCCCGCCAGGCCCTCGTCACAGGGCATCTGGCACATAAAGCAGGGGGAATCCTAGGGGTGCTGCTTCAGGGCAGGATTGGGCCCCGGGCTGGAGCCAACTCATGAGGGAGACAGCAGTGAGGGCACAAGGTCCTTTGTGGGGGCTCCTGGGTGCTGGGTGCACCTCTGGTTTTCCTGATTTGGCTTAAAGCCCCCGTCACTTGTTGAAATGAACCCACCCCCGGGCCCCCGGGGCCTTGGCTGGCCTCTCTGGACAATGGGGTGAGCTCTGGTGGAGTCCGGAGCTGGGGGCGGGGCAGGCTGAGGGCCCACAGTGGGGCCAGGGTATGGCCACCTGCCCGCACCCGCAGATCATCCTCATGCTAACTGAGAAGTGCCGTGAGCAGCAGCAGGTCACAGCGGAGGCCGAGCAGCTGCACCTCCAGCTGAACCAACTGGAGCAGAGCGTCCAGCAGCTGCAGCAGGACAAACAGGCGCTGAGGTGAGGCCTGCAGGGGCCTGGCGGGGGGAGGGGGGGGGGGACACCAAGCTGGAGGCCATCCCTTCCGGCCACACAACTCGGGCCTTTCCCAAGGGGGCACTGAGGCCTGGGGCTGGATGAAGGGTCCCAAGGGCTAGAGAGAAACAGCCTCACGCACGGAGGCAGCTGACTTGGCTCGTCCTGGTCCCGGGCCCAGGAGTCAGAGGGACCAGCTGAACGTGCAGCTGGAGAGGCAGCGGGCTGAGGCACAACGGCTACAGCGGAAGCTGACTGAAGAGCAGAACATTCGGGCAAATCTGGAGACAGCCCTGACCAGGGCCACCTTCATCCTACAGGACGTTCTACAGGTGACAGGAAGTGGGTGAGAGTTGGGGGGCGGGGGTAGTGGGCCAACGACAGCCACTGCTTGGAGACAACCAGGACTCCTGGGGAAGGCTGGGCCAGAAGCCCTGCCTTTCCCCTGAGAGACTCCTGGCAAGTCTTGTCCTTTTCTGGGTTCTGTACTTCGGAGATCCCTTGAAGGTCTCCAAGTTACTGGAGTCCCTGAGGCCCTGGAAGGCCTCTCGCCTCAGGCTTCTCATTTGGAGAATGGGTATCCCACCACAGCCAGGGTAAACTTGGAGAAAACGGGCACTGGGGTTGGAGTTTCCCAGAGGTGGGTGGGTGTTGGCACCCACCACCGCCCTGAGCCTGATCTCTGCGGGCCCACCCCACTCCCCCCCCAGCAGATGCAACCCCACGAGGAGGACAGCGACTCTGAGGTCGTGTTCCACCTGCAGTGCAAGGAGATGCTGCAGCACGTGCTGGCCACGCTCAGCTCAGCCGCGGTCCTCAGCCCCCAGCCGGCTGCGCATCTCCATCAGGACGGCCGGCCCCACAGCCCACGCAAGGACAGGTGGGTGAGCGACCCTGCCAGACAGGCAGCTGTGGAACTTGTCCAAGGGCTGTTCTCAGCCAACCCGGGCTTCCCAAGGCCTCTCTGAACCTCAGCCGCCTCTACTATGACGCGGAGGTGGTGACGCCAGTCCCCTCTCCACAGCCAGCCTGGCACCCAGCCACCCAAGATGGGGTCTCTGCCCCAGCAGCCATCCGGCCTCACACCCTACCAGCCAGGGGATCTGGGCCTGGTGCCTCGACGGCCCCACATCCCACCCAACCCCGAGGACCTCAGACTGCTCTCACACACCACCCGTGTGGGAGCCTTCCGGGTGCACAGCAGCCCTGAGGTGAGAGTGCCAGGGGCCCCGGGGACGGCAAGGTGGCAGCCAGCCCCGAGCACAGACCACAGCTCTGCCGCACTGCCGCTGTGCGGAGCCCTCTACGCCTCCATCTCGCCATCTGTAAAATGGGCCAAAGAAAAATGTGGCAAAGCCTCACTTGTGGGCTGAGGCACCACCTGGGAGGGGCGCTTGCTGGACCCCGTCGGCCCCTCCTCCACTGGCAGGGAAAGGGTGGGAACACCCCCCTCCCCCCAGGTGGCCTCGGCTTCCACGGCACGTCTTTAATTTCACAGATCCGCACCTCTGGTCCTCGGAAAAGGTTCAAAAAGTTTAGTCTTCCTGAAGTTTCTCTACTTTCCAAGTAAGACACAGAAAGACCAATCCCCATCCCAGAAGTGGACCACCGTGGCCATAGTCCCCTCTTTAATCTATAGGCGGCTGGGGCAGCCCAGAGCAGAGTTCTATAAAAAGTGGATAGAAAATAAAAACAAACAAAAAAACCAAGTGGATACCACAGGCTGGCATGGCACCTCTGTGAACGTGGCTGGTGTGCGGGCATGGTGGTTAGGGCGGCAGGAGCTCACTGAGGTCAGGGCCTAGAGACGGCCGCTGGCTCCGCGCTCGGATGTGGTCCAGGAGCATGTCGGCGGCCCGCTCCAGCAACACAGGCAGCAGTTCCTGCTCAGCCGCGGAGAAACTGCCCAGCACATGAGCCTGCACCGTGTCGGGGTGGGTAGGGCGCCCGATGCCTATCCGCAGCCTCGGCATTGCCTGTGGGGGAGCCAGAGGGGGGACCGGGGAGCTTTGACGCCCAGTGCGGGAGGCCCCCCACGTTGGCCCACCAGACCCAGAGCCGGACGAAGGGGCAGACTCACATGGGAGTTGAGGCAGCTAATGCAGGAACGGACTCCGTTGTGGCCCCTTCAAGGGATAGGGGAGGGACAATCAGTGCTTCCCTGGGTCAGCACCCTTCACCCCTCCCAGCCCAGTCTGGGGTCAGAGCACCCCTCTTCCCTGCCGAGACCGGGATCGGCACTCCTACCCCACTCCGACTTGGGGGGCTGTCCTCCCTAGCCCACCTTGACCTGCTCAGGGCCTCACCTGGCGCTTCCCCCCAGCTTCAGAGCCAGTTTCCCCAGGGGCTTGTCCAGCTCATCATGCACCAGGTAGACCTCCTCGGCCGTCAGCCCAAACAGCTCCGCTTGGCACAGGGAAATGGTTACTGGCCATCTGCCCAGAGGGCGCTGTCCCGACTCACGGCTCCCATGGGGGGGGGGGGGGGCCCGCAACTGACCTCATTTCGCATATGAAGAAACTGAGATTCCCTTAAGTACCCAACCAAGGCCAAATGCAGCAACTGGAGCTCAACAGGCACCTGGAGGTGAAGAGCTCTGCCGCCGTCCCAGACCCCCGTCTCTGGCCCCTACGCCCTCCCGGCCGGCCTATCCCTGGTGCCCTCAACTCACCGGCCCGGGACACGCTGCGCCCGCTGGCGTTCATGAGCCGCCGGGGCCGAAGCAGGACCACCTGGGCATCCTCGAGCAAGCCCACGGCGAGGTCTGCCGCGCAGCGCCGGTCGCGCGCCCAGGTGTCCTCCACACCCAGACGCCGCGCCAGGTGCCCCAGCACCGCCAAGCCCACGCTGTGCCGCGTGCCGGGCAGTCCCGGGTTCCCCAGGCCGACCACCTGCGGGCGGCACCGGGGAAACTGAGGTCCGACATCTCTCGTCGGCCTCTAGCTTACAGCGCCCCCTGGGACCCAAACCAGAGAAGGGAACGGAAGGCAGGGTAGACTGAGGAAGGGGGCCCAGGAACCCCGGAGACTCCAGAAGGCCGACTGCCCCGCGAGCTGAGTGGGCGGGGCGCCTGGAGCAGGAGCAGAGTTCCCGGAAGTTTAGAGCCCGTCAGAATACTGGACCCGTTTTTTAGATAAGAAAACCGAGACAAGGAATTGGGGGAGTGTTATCCGGTAACAATGGCAAAACAAGAGCTAGCCAGGGCCCGGGAGCCCCTACGTCGCCGCCCCCCACCCCCCGACTCCACTCACCAGCCACCGCTTCCCCGCCGGCCGGGGTTCCAAAGCTAGCACGCTCATGGCGCGACTCCACCGCAGCGCAGCTCGCAGGCAGCCGACTGGCCGCATGTCGCCCCCTTTCACGGCGTAGGCCCCGCGCCCTGACGTCAGTCAGCCCTCGACCAATCGCAGTGGCGACCCGTCCCCAGCGTCCAATCCCCGGGCGGGCCGCGGGCCGCCATGCTCCTGAGGAGCGGAAGTGGCGGGGCGGGGGCTGAGTCTGGCGCCTCCGCTCCTTCCGCGGCGCCGCGTCACAGCGTTCCTGTGGGCTTTGTTATGGACTTGCGGAGCGGCCGCACGACCTCGGGATTGGGAGGAGGGAGCCTTGTTCTGGCCCCTGCTGTGGCCCGGCCTGGCTGCGGAAACCTGACAAGTCCTCTCCCTGACGCACCACAGCCTCCCCCGCTGAGAAGTTTGCTAACCTCCTTCCGGCGCTGAACAACCCACGGCTCCCGGAGGCGTGGCCTGAGGGGCGGGGCTTGTGGGCGTCCTGGAGATGGTGCCTAGCAACGTCAAGGGCAGGCTACGTCGCGGGGGAGGTCCTCCTGGAAGGGAATTCATGAACAACTCCAGAGAGGTGCGTGAGAGGATCAGAAGACGAGACCAAGGCTGAGTTCTCAGGAAAGGTTTTAAGCACAGGAGAGGAGAGGCAGGATCAGTTGTGCAATTCATTAAAGTCCCTGGCCGCTGCACACAGAACTGAGGGCTCGGGACCTGTGTCTGGTGGGGAGGTCCGAGAAGTGGCCGGAGCTGGCGTCCAGGCAGAGGTGGGATCTGCCCAGACGGGAGGATGAGAGACGGGGAGGGATCTAAGAGATCTTTAGGAAGTGACACAGACAGGACCTGAGGTGGACTCACCGAGGTGGGAGAGCCTGGGGCAGAAGTCAACGGAAGTGCTCAGTTTGGCCTGCTGGGCGTGAGAGGGGCTGCGGGGCCTCAGCTGGAGACATTAGAGATTTGGGTGCCCGGAGCTGGAGCTGGAGCTGAGGGGAACCAGGAGGAGAGCAGAGGGCAGTGTGCGTGAGACCCCAGGCCCTTGACCTGGACCATAGGAGAGGGAGAGAAGCAGGACTGGAGAGAGAGCAATTGGAACATCCCCAAGGGGAAGGGAGCCAGGAGTGCCACCAGAACCCAAACTGTGCCTCCTGGCAGCCTCATTTCCAGGCCTGGTCCATCCTGTAAAACACCTGAGGACAGTGTGTCAGCGGAGCAAGGGTCATCTCTGAGGCCTCCCCCCAACTTGCTGTCCCTTGGTTCTAGGATGCTCTGGAGCCTGACCCGGCTCCCTCACAGCACATCCCAAAGCTATGGGTGAATCCAGTCCCAGAGGAGACCCTACAGCGCATCTTTGGGACCAGCCAGGTGTTCCAGAACATTGATTATATAAAGCCAAAGGTCGTGGGATTAACGGTGCCCCTCAAAGTCAGGGAGTAGTGAGTGACTACTTTGTCCTGGGGTCCCAGGGTCATCCTCTGCACAGCCAGTGACATGCCCTACAGCTTTGGGTTGGTTACTCTCCCTCTCTGGGCTTCAGTGAACTCAGCGGTCTAACAGGGTTCTTCCATGTGAGCAGATGAAGATGCGGCCCTGGACGAGCTCCACAAATTTCAGCCTCCTCTCCCTGGGTCCCTGTCTGCCTGCCCAACCCTGTCTCTCTACCCACCGTCCTCCCAACCCAACCCCTCCTCCCAACTCCTGCTGCCGCAGCTGTCTGCCCTGGGCTGGTCAAAGTCAGGGCCAGCCCCTCTGCCTCCTGCCCCCCACAGCTACCATCAAGGCCAGCAGTGCTTGGAGAAAGAAGACTGGGAGATGGCCGTGCTGTACTTTTCCCGCGCCGTCCACCTGGACTCCCAGCTGGTGAGCAGTGGGCATGGGCAGTTGCTAACACACACTTTGCCCTCGCTGTTGAGCCTGCCAGGCCCCTTCTTTCGGTCCCTTCTGGTAACTGAGCACCAGGTCTCAGCGGAGGGGACAGCAGCCCGGGTTCTCCCTCCCTCAGGTAGACTTCTACGCTTTGCGAGCTGAGGCCTACATCCAGCTTTGTGACTTCTCCTCGGCCGCCCTGAACCTGCGAAGGGCCTACTCCTTCCAGCCGGAGAACACCAAGTACCTGGAGCGGCTTACCTTCGTCCTTTACCTTCAGGTGCCTGGGGCTGCTGCGGGCCCACCCAGGGCGCCCACCTCACCCCCAAGCCTGTTGGCTTCTCCCTTTAGCTGTGGGTGTTTTCATGGCTCCAGGGACCAGCCCTGCCTCTCTAGGGACCTTCGTGTCCCATCTGTACCTGCTGCCCCTCTCACGACCTCTCCCACCTCCAGAGTCCATTACTACCAGGGCTGGGTATTTTGTAACATTACCCAACCAGAGTTTTCTGCAGTGATGACAGTGGTCGACTCTGCACTGTCCAATCTGGTAGCCATTAGCCACGTGGGACTGAAGAGCCTTTGAAATACAGCATGACTGGGGAACTGATTTTTAAATTGTATTTAATTAATTAATTTAAATTTGTAGAGCCACACGAAGCTGGTGGCTACTGACCTGGGCCACACAAACCTAGCCTCTTAGGCTCTAAGCACTAAAAAGGTTAGCGCATCCCCTATTCACAGTTCAAGACAAAAATATTAAATCACAAAATACCAACAAAGTCCGAGGTTTGCTGTTTCTGTATTGCTGTCTCTCTCTTTTTTAATGTTTATTTGTTTATTTTTGAGAGAGAGAGAGCATAAGCTAGGAAGGGGCAGAGAGAAAGAGAGGGAGACAGAGAATTTGATAGTGCAGAGCCTGATGCGGGGCTCAAACTCATGAACCACGAGATTATGACCTGAGCCAAAGCCGGACCCTTAACCAACTGACCCGGAGCCACTCAGGTTCCTCTGTATTATTGTTTTTTGTCAACTATAATTCTCTTGCTGTGTCTCCCTAGCTCTATATTTCTCTCCATCTCTGTCACTATCTCTCCGTCTCTCTGTCTCCATCTTTGTGTCTCTGTCCCCTGAAGTTTCAGATCTGGAGGGCTGTGTCCCTGTTTCTTATCTCTCTCCCCTCCTGCCCCCATGGTGCCCCCTGTAACTGAGAGGTGCTGCTGGGTCACAAGCAGGAATGACTGCCTCCTGTGTCCCCAGGGCCAGTGCCTGTTCGAACAGTGTGCCTTCTCGGAAGCCCTGAAAATCTTCTTGCAAGCCTCTGCACTGCAGCCCGAGAAAGCCAGCTTCCGCTACCGGTGGTGGGTGCCCGGCACGTGTCGTCATTCCCCTGGCAGCCCCTTCCTGCCCCTCTCGCCCGGCAGACAGAGTGCTTCTGCCCTGTGTCCTCAGCATGGCCTGTCTCCTGGCCCTCCAACGGCACCAGGACTGCCTCTCGCTCGTCACCAAGGAGGTGCAGCTTGGCACGACCAATCCCGATGTCTACATCCTCCGGGCCAGGCTCTACAACTTCTTCCAGAAGGTAGAGCAGGGAGGGCAGGGCGGGGGTGGCCCTCCCCCTGCCTGGGTGCCCCCAGCATACCCTGAGATTATGGGAGACCGACAGGCTCTCCGTGTGGTGGTGACATTGTCCTCTCCGGGTAGAGTCCCCAGCCATCACTGACCACTCGACATAGTTGTCCTGTTGTCACTTAGCTCTGGCTCTGTGCCAGACCTGTGTCGACCCTCAGAAACCACAAGGTGGGAAACCTATGCCATCCCTGCCCTTGTAGATCTTACAGCCCTAGGGGAGACATCCCTAAGCAGACAATTATACAAACTGATTTCACGAGTCTGTGAGTGTGGGAAGCATCACGGTGTGGGGGCACCCAAGGATCCATTAGATAAGGCAGCCCTTCCTCCTCCCTTCCTTTCCCTCCTTATTTTTTCTTAAATGTTTATTTACTTTGAGAGGGAGAGAGAGCATGAGCAGGGGAGGGGCAGGCTCCATGTAGGTGCAGAGCCCGACATAAGGCTCGAACTCACAAAATGTGAGATCATGACCTGAGCCGAAACCAAGAGTTGGACGCTTAACCAACTGAGCCACCAGGAACCCCCTTTCTCTCCTTATTTGCCTCAGTGAACATTTAGGGAGCCCTGCACTGGGCGTGGGGCCAGACAGTATAGGGAAGAGCTGGGAGCAAGGGAAACTTGGGGTCACAAGGGAGGAGGGGACTGCGAGTATGAGAGGGTATCAGACAGGCTTTTGTGAACTGAGGACACGGACTTCTTCCTGGGGCAGCAAGAGCCTCAAAGGGCTGCTCCCTGGGGCAGTGGGCTTTCAAAAGATCCTTTAGGCTGCAAGGTGGAGTTTGGACTGGAGGGGCAAGTCGGGAGGCCAGGAGCCCGGGAGCCCTCCAGCTGGAGAGGAAGGTAGAGACAGGATGGCCATGTGGGGGGGGGGGGGCAGGAAAGGGGCAAATCCCATAGTCCTTTGGAAGTCAGGCACAGAGACGGACAGAGAAGAGGGCATGAGGGAAAGGGAGGGATCGGGAACAATGCCTGGCGTTCCTGCTTGGCCTGGTGCAATGGAGCGGGGGAACTCGGAGTGGGGGGTCGGAGGGGGTCCCCTCCGTCACCAGATGGGGCATCCTGGGGGTAGCTGGAAATCCGAGCCTCTCCATACTGGGGTACAGGCTTCTGGGCCCCACAGTGACTTAGTGAGAGAGGACTCGTAATCATTGTAATTATCAGTAATTGCTGACTGTGGGAATTTAGCCCCTCCCGCCACCTCCGCCCCTGTAACAGGTGCACACCTTCAAAGCACTTGACCCGTGCTTGTATTTAAGACTCAAATAACCCCCTTTGAGTAGATACAACCCATCATCCTCTTTTCACAGATGAGGAGCTGGGTCTAGAGGGCCTGGTTGACCTGTCCAAGGTCACATAGTCAGCTCTCAATGGTGCTGCTTTTGAACCCAAGCCCACCTGCTCCAAAGCCCTGTCCCTTGCCTCTGCTGTCTTCCCCCTCCTGACTTCCACTTGCACCTGGTGTCCACGCTGTTTGCTCTGCTCACCCTCCGACCAATTACCCGACAGGATGCAGGATGCTTGCTAAACCTGTTTGTTGACTGACTGACAGACTTGCTTACCCCATGGAAGGTATTTGCCTGGGGATATTTTCTATCCATGCACATGCCCTGGTCTGCATCTGTTCCTTGTCAGAGATGTCTTGGGCTTCAAGGTCAGGGAAGTTGGGGAGGTCATATGCGTGGGAGGAGAGGGAGGATATGACAGTCACCATCAGGAGGACACACCCTCCGCCCACCTCAAGTGACCTTAAAAGAAGTCCTCTGAGGAGGAGGCATCTGCACCCCATTCTACAGCAGAAACCACCCAGGCTGACCTGGCTCACCTGAGGTCACATCTGGAGAGGGACCGGCAAGGGATGGGGCCTGGGATGGGATTTTCCCACAGTGCTCCCTGCTTCCTTCATGGTGCGGGGGAGTGGAGGAGGCAGAACAGCAACTCAGGGACAAGGGTGGGAGACGTGGTGCCTGCCTGCCCAGAGAAAGGCCCCTACAGGCCCGGAGGTGTGACCGTGTCACCATGGGACAGGTCAGAGCTCAGCTGAGCCCGCTGCCCTGATGCCATCCATGGCCCCCTGCAGCCTAGCCTCTGTTTTCGAGACCTGCATAGTGCCTTGCTGATGGATCCCAAGCACCCACAGGCCAAGGTGCTGCTCAGGATGTTGGTGGACCAAGCTCAGCAGGCTTGCCAGGACGCCAGGACCTTGGCCGTGCAGGGCAAGCTTCGGCACGCTCTGCAGCACATCAACTGTGCCATCGAGAACAACCCTCTGGATCCTGGACTCTTTCTTTTCCGGTACTTTGTGTGGAGGCGCCCATCTTGGATCCTGCTGTGTAGACTCAGGAGAGGCTTTGACCCTCCCTCAATTTCCCCATGTAGCCTCTAATAATCTTTCCCTACAACCCATTAGGGTCAAAGCTGGGGAGAAGGCTGGAGCTGCTCTTGCCCTTAGAGGAAGGGCAGGCGGCCACCTCAGTTAATCTGGGGATCCTGGCTCCCCCAGGCCTGCCAAGCATTCATGTTGGGAGTCTCAACCCAGCTCAGCGGTCAGGCTCAGGTTTGAATCTCCCCCCGCCCAGGATTCATTACATGATTTGGGGCCATTTAACTTCCTTGAGCCTAGGTTTGCACATATAAACAGTGGGGAAAACGTCTACCCTGTGCACAAAAAGGCCTCAGCATAGAGGTCTGCACACACCTGTTTCCCAAAAATAAAAGTGGAAGCTATTTTTGACTAAAACGAAACTACCAGTGACCAGCTGGTTATCCAAGTGGTAACCAGAGCCGGCCCCACACCTAAGCTGGTGCACGGGGAGAGGGGCCCTCATGCCACCACCACCGCACAAGATGGTCCAGACTGGCCAACAGTCTGGCTGGCCACCCCGGTTGGTGGGGGCTGCCTTGGCCCTCATGCCCCTCCCCCGCAGGGGTACCATGTACCGCCTCCTCCAGGAGTTTGACGCTGCTGTGGAGGACTTCTTGAAGGCGCTGGACATGATGAGCGAGTCCCAGGAGGACATGGTGCAGCAGGCACAGCGACAGCTGCTGCTGGCCTACAACGACTTCGCGGTGCACTGCTACACGCAGGGCGCCTACCAGGAGGGGGTGCTGCTGCTCAACAAGGCCCTCAGGGACGAGCAGCAGGAGAAAGGCCTGTACATCAACCGTGGAGGTGCGTGCGGGCTGCCCCGGCCCCTCTAAGTCCGGGGCAGGGCACCTGAGGCCCGAAGGAGGGAGGACCGGAGGAAAGAGCCTCAGTGCCCTGGGGACACACTTTGGGAAGTGCTGCCTTAGACAAACGGGCTACAGCCTCTTGAAACTGCTGAGAATGAGGCGGCTGGGAAAAGGTGCCCCGAGACAAGGAAACCCTCGGCAGGCGCCCGCCACCGCCCACGGGGAGTTCCCAGCCACCAGACTCAGGATCCCCTGGGGGTGGGGAGGCAGTGCTGGGGCTCCTGGGCACTGGACTTGGGGACCCACCCACTCAGCCCCTATCTCCGGGTCCCTGGGCCCCAGATTGTTTCTTTCAGCTGGGCAATCTGACCTTTGCGGAGGCCGACTACCAGCAGGCGCTGGCACTGAGCCCACAGGACGAGGGTGCCAACATGCGCATGGGCCTGCTGCAGGAGAAGATGGGCTTCTGCGAGCAGAGGAGCAGGTGCGCGACCCGTGGGCGGGCCCAGGGCGGGGCTGCGGGGGGGCGGGGCCTGGCTCCAGGCTGCCTACTGGGACCCTGGGTAGAGACCCTCTGCTCTCCCAGGCAAGAGTCCTAAGTAACGATTTTAGTTTTCAGGAGTCCGTGAAAAAATTTTCACTTTTTTCTCGGAATATTGTTATGGTAATTGCACTTTTTATAAAAAAAAAAAAAAGAAAACAACAACCTGTGTTTGGTAATGTATAATCAGAACATGAATCTGCCTCCCAACACCAATCCCCCATAAGTTTGTAGAGATCCCTCCAGATTGTTTCCTATATATGTATATTTTTTAAATAAAGTCTTAGGGTTTTTTTTGGTTTATTTATTTTTGAGAGAGAGAGCGAGAGTATAAGAGGGAAGAGAGAGAGGGAGACAGAATATGAAGTAGGCTCCTGGCTCTCAGTGCAGAGCCCGATGTGGGGCTCGAATTCAGGAACTGTGAGATCATTATCTGAGCCGAAGTCAGACACTTCACCAACTGAGCCACCCAGGCGCCCCTCCTATCTATATATTAACAATTGTCATCATTTTACAAAATGAAATCATGCTAAACTGTCTTTTGACTTCTGATCTTATACATAGGGCAAATTCACTCTTCTTTATTATTTGCATGGTATTCCGTTCTATGGAGGTACCACAATTCGTTTCTTTAGACAACTTTCATATATATATATATGTGTGTGTGTATATATATATATACACACACATATATATATTTATAGTTTATTGTCAAGTTGGTTAGACAACTTTCTACCGATGAATATTTGGGTTGTTTTCTGTTTTTGTTTCATTATAAATAACGTAATGAGCACCTAGGACATACATTTTCATGCTTTATATTAGGAATGCCACAGTTAGATTGCTGGAAGCCAAACTGTTGTGTTACAGGGTGTGAACATTTAACATTTTAAAACAGAATATCTTGGGGCGCCTGGGTGGCTTAGTCGGTTAAGCGTCCGACTTTCGCTTAGGTCATGATCTCTCGGTTCGTGGGTTTGAGCCCCGCGTCGGGCTCTGTGCTGACTGCCAGCTCTGAGCCTGGAGCCTGTTTCAGAGTCTGTGACNTAGGTCATGATCTCTCGGTTCGTGGGTTTGAGCCCCGCGTCGGGCTCTGTGCTGACTGCCAGCTCGGAGCCTGGAGCCTGTTTCAGTCTGTGACCCCCTCTCTCTCTGACCCTTCCCTGCTCACGCTGTCTCTCTCTCTCTCCTAGAAATAAATAAAACATTAAAAAATAAAAAATAAATAAAATATAAAACAGAATATCTTGGGGTGCCTGGGCGGCCCAAGTCAATTGAGCATCCAACTCTTGATTTCAGCTCAGGTCATGATCTCAACAGTTTGTGAGATTGAGCCCCATGTCCTTGGACTTCATGCTGACAGTGCAGAGCGTGCTTGGGATTCTCTCTCCCTCCCTCTCTGCACCCCTCCCCACTAGCTCTTCCTCTCTCTTTCAAAAGAAATAAATAAACTTTAAAAAACAACGTAATATTCAATTGTTGTCCACAAACAGTAGTCACTATAAACTTCCCCCAGGAAAGGAGAGCCTTGGTTTTCCCAAATCTCCCTAGTGCCAGGTGTTAAGACTGTATTTTTTTCTTTTCTTTTTTTTAAAGACTATTTTTGACTCTGCTAATCCAAAGAAGGAGGCAAAGAAACACTCTTGCAGCTCATTTATCTTGCAAGTTTAAATTGCTAGTGCGCTGCGGCATCTTTTCGTCATTGTGGCTGGTCCCAACCTTTTTGCCCGTTTTGCTATTAAATTGCTCCTGAAGGGGTGCCCGGCTGGCTCAGTTGGTCAAGTATGTGGCTCTTGATCTCAGGATTGTGAGCTTGAGCCGGCATTGGTCATAGAGCCTATATAAATAAGTAAGTTTTTTTAAAAAAAATAGTAAATTGTTCATTAAAACTTTTTGTTGTTGTTGCAAGAGTTCTTTGTAGGCTAGGGGAATTATCGTCTGCCTTTGTGGGAAAATATATTTCTCCTATTTATTTGTGGTGGTTTTTGCTACTCAGTAACTTGGATTTAATCATAGCCAAGTTCATTTTCTCCTTTTTAGCTCTTGAGCTTGTGACATTCTCAGAAAGGTCTTCCTTACTCCTAGATATTAAAAACATTCACTTAGAGGGGTGCCTGGGTACTTCTGTTGGTTAAATGTCTGGTTTGGTTTTGGCTCAGGTCTTTTTTAAAAATATGTTTTAATATCTATTAAATATTAAACTTTTAAAAATATTTATCTTTGAGAGAGACAGAGACAGAGACAGAGCATGAGCAGGGGAGGGTCAGAGAGAGAGGGAGACACAGAATCTGAAGCAGGCTCCAAGCTCTGAGCTGACAGCGCAGAGCCCGGTATGGAGCTTGAACGCATGAACCGCGAGATCCTGACCCGAACCAAAGTCGGATGCCCAACCATCTGAGCCACCCAGGCATCCCCGGGCTCAGATCTTGATCTTATGGTTCTTGAGATGGAGCCCCACGTCAGGCTCTGTGCTGACAGGCTGATAGCAAAGAGCCTGCTTGGGAGCCTCTCTCTCTCACCCTCTCTGCCCCTCCCCCACACTCTGTCTCTCTCTTTCCCTCTCTGCCTCTCCCCCACACACTCTCTCTCTCCCTCTCTTAAATTTTATTTTTAAAAAACCCATTCACTTATATTGGGGTCTTATACTAGCATTTAAGTGTTGGGGCCATTAAGAATGTTACTGTTGGAAGAAGAGCAGAGGGTCATGGTGGAGCTGGGGGAGCAGAGACCAGCCTGATTTTCCCAGACTCCCCAGGGGGGCCCAGGAACTGTTATTTCCCTCCAGAGGGCCCAGCTCGCAGCAGCCCGTGACCCACTGTGTCCTGCAGGCAGTTCCATAAGGCGGAGAGCCACTTCTCCATGGCCATCCAGCACAGCCCCCAGCAGCCCCAGTACTACCTGCACCGTGCCAGGAGCCGCCAGTTCCTGCAGGACATTATGGGAGCCCGCCTGGATGTGGCCACCGTCCTGCTCCTCAACCCCAAACAACCTAAGGTGGGTTCCTCCTGGGCCAAGAGGGCGGGCTCCAGAATCAATACCCACGGTTGCTATAGATACTCCCTGCTCCCAGAAGAAGTCAGGTTTCCTAGCAAAACTAAGAGCTGCCAATGCCAGGCACTTACAGCGTGCCAGGTACTGTGCCAAGCCACTTCAACTTGCGCTGCTGTTTTTCCCTCTTCAGCACCCCAAGAGACAGGTAACATTATTATCACCCCCAATTTGTGGGTGAAGAGGGGAGGGTTCAGGGAGGTCAGTTCCCTTGCCGCAGGGCACACACTTAGAGGTCAACCCCCCACAGGCCGGCACCTGTGATTGGCTGGCCGGGTCCTGGCGCTCTTCCTCCTCACAGGCTTCTCCCAGCTCTGGAGCCCTCTAAAAACCAGTTTGTAAACCCTTCTCCACCCCCCCACCCGCACCCCCCGCCCCGCAGCTCTGAGAAGGGCTCTGGGTGGGCCTCGCCACCTGCCGCCCTGCCCTGGCCCACACCCACCTCTTTCCTGGCAGCTGCTCCCACTGGTGACCAGCCTCTTCCCAGGCATGTCGGTGGAGGAGGTGCTCAGCAGCCAGGTGGCCCACCTGGCCCGCCTGCAGCTCGATCGGGTGTTGGAGAGCAGGCTGCAGGCTGGCATCCCTCAAGGCATCGTGGGGCAAGTTCCTGGAGCGGGCACCCCGGGCCGGGGGCGGGAAATGGCCCGGCGTCAAGACTCCTGCCCCACCGCCTCCTCAGGCGGCTCTCCAGCCCCCCGGGGATGGTGGGCCAAGTCCGGGGGGCGGGGGGCCCCTTACCCAGAGCTCCGGGGCCCTGGCTTGGCAGGCAGCTCAGGGAGCGGGAACAAGAGCGCCAGAAGGCACGGGCCCTGCGGCTCTTGTGGAAGCGGGAACGGCCTCTGGCTGAGACCTCTGAAGAGCTCAAGGCCACCCCGCAGACCCTGGAGGAAAAGCCAGAAGGCCCAGAGGAAGAACCTGAGGCCCCCAAGGAGGAGGGAAAACAGGTGAGCGGGCCACAGGCCAGGGCCTAGGGCCCTGGCGGTCGGAGAAGGGGTGCGTACCCCAAGCCAGGGCTGAGGGATGCAGATTGGCTGGAGGCTGGCATCCAGGCCTGGCTCAGCCACCACTCAGCTGTGTGACTTGGGCTGGGGACGCTTTGCTTTGAGATGGGGATGGCACCAATAAGGGGTGGGCACATGAGGATGTGGGCCCCTCACAAGGAGGCCTCCCCACACCTTGCCACACTCATCTTCATAAATTCCGTGTGTGCTGGCTGTTTGTGCCAGGATTCTACAAAGTTTTTATTGAATGTAACTATACACAAATCATAAGGGCGTGACCGGATGAATTGTCACAAACTGAATACACCCCTGACACCATTATCTATTGAAAGCCCCCTGCCAGGTCCCTCCCCTAGCCCAGGTCCCAAGGCTGTCCTGATTCCTGACATCACAAATGAACGGGCCCGTTCCTCACATCCGTGGACAAATACGGTGGCCTGCTTGCCTCTGACTCCTCTCACTAAGCATGTTGGTGAGATGCAGCTAAGCTGACTGCTCGTTCTCGCTGTAGACAGTCCCATCCTGTGAAAGCCCCATGATCTGTCCGCTCAACTGCTGACAGGCAGCAAGTACACTTGTGTTCAGAGGAAGCATTACGAATGAGTACATAGACTCCAGCATCCCTTGCTGTAAACGGAACTAGCCAGTGCTAGTTTTCTAGCTCACGCCGGAACACAAAAATATAGAACCCCCTGAAGTCACTGTGAGCTGCCTCCCTCCGTTGGTAGCGCTTGCAGCTCTGCCTGCCCCTCCTGGCTTCCATTCCCCGTGGCCTGCGGGTGTGAGTGGGCTGGAGGGGTTCAGCAGCCACGAGCCTGGCTGTGGAGTCCTGCGGGCCTGGATCCAAGCCCCGCCTCTCTGCTTTCTCAGCTGTGTGTCCTGGGCAGGCTGCTCAGGCACCCGGAGCCTTAGTTTCTGGACCATGAAAGGGTAGTTCGCTCCCAGGTATGTGGGAGGATGAAATGGAAGAGGCATGTGACGTGTAAGAAAGTTCCTCCATTCTTCACTAGCTATTCCCCAGGGCGCTGCACTTTACAGTTTACAGAAGCCCGTCCCACACTTGAACTCATTCGCATTTTGTTTTTTTTTTTTCACTTGCATATTTTTATTTATTTCTAGGAGAGAGAGAGAGAGTGAGAGAGAGAGAGAGAGAGCGTGAGTAGGGGAGGGTCAGAGAGAGGGAGTCACAGACTCTGAAACAGGCTCCAGGCTCTGAGCTGGCAGTCAGCACAGAGCCCGACGCGGGGCTTGAACCCACAAACCGCGAGATCATGACCTAAGCGAAAGTCGGACGCTTAACCGACTAAGCCACCCAGGCGCCCCGTCATTCGCATTTTGAAACTGAGGCCCAAGCAGCTTCCCAAACACTGCCCTTCTCACAGTGCTGCGCCAGTCTGGTCTGCCCACTCCACTTCCCGGCCAGCCTTAGCGTCTCCGTGTCGCACCCAGCCCTAGCTGGGGACCCTTGAAGAGCTCTGAGCTGCTGTTCTTCCTTCCGGAGCTCTGCACTGGCCCGTGGCCTCCCACAGCCTGTGACGGCCCTGCCTGTCTTCTGCCCTAGGAGGAGAAGCCGAAGCCTGCGCCCAGCCAGGTGACATCCCTGTCCGACAGCTACTTCAGCCAGACCTCTTCAGGCTCCATCTTGGGCTGTAAGTCCGCAGCGCTCCTGGGTCCACCGAAGTGGCAGAGTGGGCAAAGGTCAGGGGTCCGAGACTCTCTGGCCCGTGGGTGCTTCTGGGCGCTGCTTCTTACAGCCGTGTGACTATAAAGCAGGAGTAGTAACCGTCACTCTGCAAGGGGCCTGGTGAACCCTCAGTGAGGGCTGGACGAGGCGGTCCTCAGTGTCTCCCTCTTACCCTATAGCCCTGGCCCAGCTGCAGGGCTTGGGTTGCCGAGGAGGACTAGGCTGGCATCATCCAGCAGACCTTCCCCTTGGCTGTGCAAGGCCTCTGGGGGATGGGCAGGGGTGAGACTGACACCTGCTTTTGCCGGAGCTGTCTGCGAAGGGCAGCCTAACTCGGCACATCCTTCCCAGTCAGGGTCATGTCCACCCCAGAGACAGAGACATCCACTACCTGCCAGGATTACAAGAGCAGCTCGGCCACTGCTCTGACATCCTCAGACTCCTCACTGCTGAAGACTCAATCCTCAGACCTGCTGGACAGCAGGGAAGACCTAAACTTGGGCCACAGCCCCAGAAAAACCAAAGCCACCGAGGACCAGAGCCGCAGGCCCAGCAAGACCGAGGTCGCCCAGGGCCAGAGCTGTAGTTCCAGCCAGACAGAGGCCACCCAATGCCCAAGACAAAAGCCTAACGAAACCAAGGCCACTAGGGGCCCAAGACAGAGGTTCAGAAAGGCCAAAGGTGCCCATGGCCAGAGCTGGGGACCCAGTAAGGCTGCCACCCAGGGCCAGTGCTGGGGACTGATCCGAAGTTCCAGCAAGACCAAGGATTTCTGTGACCCAAGTTGGAGCCCCAGCAACATTGAGGCCACTCAGGGCCAACACCAGACGCCCAGCGAGACCAAGACTGCCCAGAGTTGGAGCCAGAGCACAAGCCCAGATTCCAGCAAGACAGAGGTCACCAGGGGACTGAGCCCAAGTCTCAGAAAACCCCAGACCACCTAGGGCCTGAGCCAGAACCCCAGAAAAATCAAGCCTGGCCAGGATCCCAGCCCCAGCCTCCCTCACCTCTTGCTGGGGACGGAAGAGATTCTAACCGCCCCCCACCCCCACCCCCAACACACGCACACACTCACTGGCGCTCAGCGAAATAGGCTCCTTCCAGAGCAATTAGATACCTCAGCCAACATTCCTCTGGTCCCATGGCTAAGTTTATTGTGTTTGTTCTCTTATAAAATTAAAAACTTTAAAAACTAGGCCCAAGTGGCAGCTTGAGTCCCTCTGTTCACAGAGACGGAATTCTCAGCCTGGCTTTATGTACGGGGACACAGGGTGTGGAGTGGAGCATTGAGACTGTGGTGCCAGACCAAGGGGCCAAGAGTAAGACTGAAGAGGGAGGGGGCAGCCACGAGCCACAGTCCCTGAGTTACAATTCACATTTTAAGAAGGCTCAAGCTGGAGAGCAAGGGCAAGGCTCACTGAAGTTCTGGGGTCACCAATGATTTCCCCAGGGAAGGAAGCAAAGGCCAAGATGCCCTGGAACCAGTTAAGAGGCCAGGGCCTGCCCTGGCCCCCTGGCCCCCTGGCCCCCTGGCTCCCTGGCCCCTGTTCCTGGCCAGCACGCCGCCTCCTCTTCACTTTGGGCTCTGGGGCTCACTCTCCAGGCGGCTCAGGAAAAGGATCCCTACTGCGGAGGCCCCAGGGCTTTCCTGCACAGGCTGGCCGGGAGGGCAAGGGTGCCATCTAGAGAGTCAGAGGAAGAAGGCAATTCTGGAAGCCACAGTTTTGCAGCCGTTGGAGGAGAAGAGCTGCTCGTCCTCAGGGAAGAAGGTGGTGCTGTCCAGCACAGCCTGGACCACCTCATCCCTTGGCTCCAGGCCCAGCTGCGCCAGCTCGTTGAGCACGCAGTGCCGCACGTGGTGCCGCTGCAGCGGTAGGAAAGGCACCAGAACGTCTAGGAGATGCTCTTCCATGATGCCTGAGCGCCAGAAGCCATCTGCGGGAAGGGACAGTGGGGGAAGGGTCCGTGTTGGGCTCAGGGACAGCCCAGGTGCGCCAAAGCATGGGCTGAGAAGTACCAGGTCACCAGGCAAAGCATTGGCCCCAGCCCTGGGTGAAGCCCCAGCCCGCTGAGGTTACCCCAGGGTGGGCCTCCCGGGCTGAACTCACGGTGCGGGCTGTCCAGCACAGCCTGGGAGACGACCCGCTCCAGCTCCTGTAGGCGGATCTCCTCGCGGTCCCGGCGACTGCGCCACGCCTCCAGTGCCACCTGGTTGATCTGCTCACCACCAGTATTGCTGAAACCATGGAGGATGCGGGCCGTGGCTCAGGATGGCCCTTCCTTCCCATGTGCCACCTAACACGACCTGAGCCAACCAGCAGGAGCCAAAAAATGCACCGAAAACATACCACAGGAACCCCTTCCTCTCTCCAGAGCCTGTGTCTACAACCATGACCCCTGGAAATTCACCTATATGTGCCACGCACACTGGAGTCTACAAAACACTTTTGGGTCCCTTAACTGACTTTCCCTCCCCCAGCCTCTAGGAGGACAGTGAGGCATTGATGTTGGCCGTGCTGTGCAGAGAGGAGATGGGAGTTCAGAGAGGTGAAGTGATCTGCCCAAGGAAACACAGCTAGGACTCTTAGAGGTGGGACTCGAATTCTAGTCCTGTTTTTCCCAGGTCTGTGTCCTCCTGGCCACAAAAGAGGGAAACCCCTGAACCTAGCAAGCTTCCACAAACACACGGCAAGGATCCCAAAGACTGAGCCCCGCGTGGGCTTTAAGAATGTCAAAATGGGGGGGCGCCTGGGTGGCTTAGTCGGTTAAGCGTCCGACTTTTGCTTGGGTCATGATCTCGCGGTTCGTGGGTTCGAGCCCCGTGTTGGGCTCTGTGCTGACTGCCAGCTCAGAGCCTGGAGCCTGTTTCAGTCTGTGACTCCCTCTCTCTCTGACCCTCCCCTGCTCACGCTGTCTCTCTCTCTCTCCTAGAAATAAATAAAACATAAAAAAAAAAAAAAAAAGAATGTCAAAATGGGAATAACAGTGCGACAGTGAGAGTGTGAGGGGCTTTGGAAAAGCCCAACTGGGAGGAAAGGTATTCTGCTATGGGACCACAGGCCAAGACCGATGGCTGAGACCTGGGATAAATGTCCCCCTACCACCCTGCCGCAGAGCCGCGCCCACCTGATGAAGATGAAGATGGCTCTGCGGTAGTTGGTCCCGAACACGACCCAAGAGGAGCCCAGGAAAGGCCGCAGGACCTCCATCAGGCCTGGGGCCATCTTGTCCATCTCGTCAAAGAGGAAGAGGGAACGGCTGCAGGCAGTGAGGTTCCCCTGGACCCAGCTCTTAAGATCCTTCTGCAGGGGAGAGGCAAGAATTGGAGGGGGTCTGGAGACACTCCTCTAACCCCAGACCTCCTGCCAAGGCCAGAACTAATCCCCTTCCCAGGAGGAGATGGTCTCCCAGAGAGAACTACTCCTTTCGTGGGGCTGGGGGCAAAACAGTGGCCCTGAGAGGCCAGAGACTTGTTCAAGCTCACACAGCAAGTCAGCAGGCGCACAGAGACTCAAACCCATGCCTCGCATCTGCCTGGTCAGGACTCACTCGCAGATATTTCCTACTTTCTATGAAAGGGGTAGGTCCCTCTCTGCCCCCTGAACCGTCCCAATAATGTCGACAGCTGAAACAGATCAGCCTGGAAAGTACCTTGCAATCAACAACAATGATAGTAGTAAGAGCAACTGGTTCCTGAATACTTACTCTGAGCCTCAAATTGGGACTATGCTTTACAGAAAGAAGATAACGTAGACTGTCAGGCAAAGGTAAGTGCTCAATAAATAATACCTGCACCTATATAAGCCCATGTCCCTCACAACAACCTTGGCAGGGAGGTAGCATTACTGCCCCCCAGGATTTAAAGCAAGAACTCCCTGCCAGGTAGAATGGCACCATCTCAAGCTCTGTTCACAACGGGTCCTGAGGGCTGAGGCTCCAACTGGCTGTGTGGCTTGGAGCAAGTGGCTCTCCCTCTCTGGACTGAGGACTCATTCACTCCCTAGGGTCTGGCACCCCAACGTGCAGGTGAATGGCGGTCCTGGATGCCACCAGCCTACCTTGTAGCGCTCCATGTGGCTTGGGTGGGGGAAGTGGATGACGGGGGAAAAGTGGTGTACATGAGGGCTGCGGAGGCCACCCCGGAAGAGGTAGCGTGCCAGCAGGGAGCTGACGTAGGACTTGCCAGTGCCTGTCCAGCCATGCAGGGAGAGGACCAGTGGCTTGCTGGGGGCTGGATCCTGCACAAAGGCCTTCACTGCCTTCACCACCAGAGCCTTGGCCAAGTGCTGGCCAGCAAGGTGCTGGGCCAGGTCACACTCCAGACCTAGGGCCACAAGGAGGACAGAATCAGAGCTGAGGACACACACACACACACACACACACACACACACACACACGCTTGTCACAGAAGGGATTGGGAGAAGTCGTATCTGGAACCCGGTCTAGGGTTCCCTGCGTTCTGGGACATTTTTACAAGCTGTCTGTAGAAAGGGAGTGGGGCCCTTGGGATCTCGGACTGCAGCAGCCACCCTCAGACCTGACTCAGCTCGGTAGCGCCCCCACCAGCCGGCCCTCTGTATGGCGCTCAGCTCCAAGTGGGTGTGAGCTGTCAACAGGGTTGGCCCGACTCCTCCCCACGCCCAAGGCAGGCTTCTCCTCCCTGGAGGCCCAATCTCCCCGCCAAGGCCCTGCTGTCAAATGCCCCTCTCCATCCTGGCAGGGCTCTCCCTGGATCCCAAAAAGGCTTCCTCAAACCTACGCCCCACGTCCGGGGCTCCAGGCTCTCAGCCCCTCAACGCCGGGCCCACTTCCGGCCCCGGCCATCCGGAAGTCTGGGAGTCCCGGCCCTCGGTTCTACCCTCCAGCTCTGGCCCTGGCGCAACCCCAGGGTCCGAGGGCTCCCCGGTCCGCCCGCCCCTCGGCTCCTGCGGCTCCTCACCCTGGAAGTCGGGCTGGAAGTCACATTCGCAGAAGGCGCCGAAGTGGCAATGCAGCGAAGTCAGGTCCCAGGCGGCGCCTGCGGCCGAGACCAACCCCAGCAACCCGAGGAGCGAGCCCCAGGGCCGGCAGCCGCGTGTCGCAGCAGCCATACGGGTGAGGCAGGAGCCGGGTCTGGGCCAACCGCCCCTCCCTGGAACCACAATTCCCGGCGTGCATCACTCCGTGGCAGTCACTACAACTCCCGGCACCCCCTGGAAGGCCGCGCCACAGTCCCGCAGCAGGACCGCAAGGTAGCCTCTAGGGGGAGCCCACGAACCGTCCAATCCAGGACTGCGGGGCCACGTTTCCGTGGCCACGGTAACTAGGAGACCATAATAGTGCCGAAAGAATTAATAAAGGATTATGACCACAAAGGGTGACGTAACAATTGTAGCAAAAACTTGTGCGGCGCCTTAAATCTTGCAAAGCTCCCTTTTCGTGCTCTTTTTTTCTTTTACACGATTAAAGAGCGCTCAGTAATATAGCTTTAGTGAGCACCTACTGTGTTCCACTAGTGTTAGGTGACTTATAGATCATAACAGTGCCGGTCATACAAAGAAATAGTAATGTTTTGGGGTGCCTGGGTGGCTCAGTGGGTTAAGCGTTGGAGTCTTGATTTGGCCTAGGTCATGCTCTCACTAAGTGCGGAGCCTACTTAGGATTCTCTCTCTCCTCTCTGTCCCTCCCCCACTCTTTCTCTCTCTCAAAATAAACTTTTAGGGGCGCCTGGGTGGCTCAGTCGGTTAAGCGTCTGACTTCGGCTCAGGTCATGATCTCACGGTTCATGGGTTCGAGCCCCGCATCCGGCTCTATGATGACAGCTAGCACAGAGACTGGAGCCTGTTTCCAATTCTGTGTCTCCCTCTGTCTCTGACCCTCCCCTGCTCACATTGTCTCTCTCTCTCTCAGAAATAAATAAAACATTTTTTAAAAAATAAAATAAACTTTTAAAAACAGATGATGTTTCTGTGAGATACAGGCAAAGTGTTTTGACTCAGTAATCAATGATTATTGACAATCCATTCTGTATGAAACATGACAGTCCCCTCTAGCAGCCACCATGCTTTAAGTGCTTGAACATCAATCCTAAGGAATTGATTGTGATTGTCCCCATTTTATTGAGAAGAAAATTGAGATCCAAGGGATTAAGCCTCTTGTCCAAGGCCACCCAAGTCGAGCTGCTGCCAAAGACCTAATGCACTATGTTAGCCAGCCTCTCTTGGTCAAAGGATTTAGAAGGCAAAGGACCCCCATGTTTTGTATTCAGTGAACAGGCTCCCAAGGCATCCAGCCTGGCCAGGAATCGTTTGATCCACATTGCCTACCTCTTCTAATCATGGAATCAAAACAACTGCTTTCAGGGCCCTTCTCAGAGATTCCTTGCTCCACCTACCTAACACACACACACGCACACACACACACACACACACACACACACACACACAGCCTTCTGGGGCCATTTCAAAGCCTGAAAAGAAATTAGGGGAGTTAGAATCCTAAATTTCAAAAACCCAGGTGCCTGGGTGGCTCAGTCGTTAAGCATCTGGCTTCGGCCCAGGGCATGATCTCAGAGTTTGTGAGTTCAAGTCCTATATTAGGTGAGCACGAGAGGGTGAGCCCCACCTCTCTCTCTCTGTCAATTGTGGGATTCTCTCTCTCTGCCTCTTGCTCACTTGCACTTTCTCTCTAAAAAAGAAAAAAGAAAAAAAGCACCCTTCTACCCCAAACATCTGAAATGCTTGGTTGTGCATTTGTGGGAACCTTAGCTGGGCTTCCCAAAGCAGGAAACCGGGTAGCAGGAGGGGCTGCCCAGGGTTTTTCTCACTGGTTGGAATTAGCTGTTTATCTCCCCCACTGATCTGTGAGCTCCTCCAGGCCGGGGACTGGGCTTTATTTATTTATATTTGGGGCTTGAACCCACGAATCATGGGTGAAATCAAGAGCCAACCAACTGAGCCATCCAGGCGCCCCTGGGACTGGATTTTAGTGTTGGCTGTAACTGGCTGCTGGTAGAATCTGAAATGTCCCAGGTACTAATTAAGCATTTACTGTTGAATGACTTTTTCCACTTTTCACCTGAGAAAAGACGCTTCCTTCCACCCCAGGGCCCCCGGAGAGACAGAAGAAAGAGCCATAAAAGTTTATTATATGAAAGAAAGAACATGGCTGCTGTACATCTATTTACAGAACAGACAGACATATTTACAACCAGGTGGAGGTCATGGTGTCTGGTGGGTGCCCGGAGAAGAGTGAAGAGGCGTGAGGAGTCTCCCATGGCTCAAGCACAGGGCACCTCGGCAGGAAGGGGGAGAAGCAGAAGCCGGAGGGAGGGAGAAGGTTCCAGTTCTTCCTGAAGGGAGACTTGGTGGGCACGTAGCAGGTGGGACGGAGTCCAGGGTCCATGCAGGACCCTGGAAGTGCAACGGAGATCCTGGTTTGGGCCCAGAACATTCTTGGGCTGATCACAGTGTCTCTGGGGTGCTCTGAGGAAAGGTCTGTGCCCCCTCTGTCCCTGTTGCTGCCCGCAGCTGCAGAGGGGAGGGGTCCGTGGGGGTCACAGCTCGCTGGAGCGGACAGCAGGTTCCAGTTTGTGGGACAGGGCAGTGAGGACCTTGTCAAACTTCTCATAGCGCCGGGCCTGGTTGCTGCTGGCGCCCTGGCTGCCCCAGAGAAGGCGCATCTGGAACTCGGTGCTGAACACCTCGAGCAGCTCTGGCCGGGCCTGGAACCCTGCAAGACAGGGCGCAGAGGTCAGGGACTACCACCCAGCCTGGGAAGGCCTGGGGCTCCAGGGCCTTGTTCCCAAGGCACCTCCCCACAGCCCCACCAGCAATCGAGCAAGGTTTATTGATGAACATGACCTTGTCTACCACATATAATTTTTGAATCGCTAAAAGATAAAAAATATTAATGTTAATTTGGGGACATTTTTCCTTCCCTTTTTGTATTTTTCTGTAAGTTCCAAAATTCTTCCCAAGAAACGAATACATTTTGCAAGTACATTTTTGTACGTAAAAAAATTGTTTGGTCTTTCCGAAAAAGGGTGAAAAACAAACACCAGAATATTCTCACCATTTGCCTCAGGACAATTGTGGGTGATTTTTGGTTTTTATTTCCTTTTTGCTCAGCTGTAATTTCCAGTTTGTCTACAGTGAGCTTTCCTCACTTAAATCATGCCTAAAGCAGTGAAAGACCGACTGAAGCCGCTGTCTCTGCTCCTTTCACGAAGCAGTTCTCCCTTTCGCCTAGAGGGGGCGCTCCTCGAAGGCAAGGCAGGTGTGTCTCCGCCAAGCGGCGACAGGCCAAGCGCTTTGCAAACAACCTTGTAAAGTAGTCCTGCTAGGACGTCTACTTCACAGATGAGAAGACTGAGGCTCAGAGAAAGACACACAGCTTTGGTGCTCTTTGAATCATCTCTGTGTCCCTCCACCCACACCGGATGCCTTCCACTAACAGTTGAACTGATAAGTGAGTGAAAAACGGAGAAGAAAAAAGAGCCAGGGAGCGAAGCAGGAAGAGGGATGGAGAAATGCAAATAGACCTTTGGAGGAAAGGGGAGAGCAAGTCCCGTGGAGGGAGGCCCAAAGACCGAGGACTGTCTCACCACCCCCCACCCCCCATTCGATTTGTGACTCACCCTGCAGCTTGACCTCAGCGTTGGTGTGATACAGGCCTCCGTGGTGTGCCACGGTGCGGGCAGCCTCCAGGTGGGCCAGGACCACCTCCACGCCGTGCTCCGTGCTGCCCCAGGGCTCAGGGCCCTCGGCCGGGGCGGAGTCACATTCCAGCAGAGTGATGAGCGGCAGCACATGGGGGAATGTGGTGTTGCTCAGCGGCGGGCCCTCTGCAGGGAGGGAGGCAGGTGCTTAGAGACTCTGGAGGCCCCACCATCCGCTCTGGTCCCAGGAAACAGGTGCAGCAGGGGGAGGGTCTGCCTGGGGTCCCTGACTTAGCCCCCTGGCCCCTGACTCCTGAGGCAAGCCCCTAATTTTGGATTCCTCCAGCTGAACCCACTGCAGCCTTAGCACAGTGCTGAGGGCCGAGCCTGGCCCTGGCTGCGGTGCACACTGTCGTCAGGCACAGAAAGTGAGCACAGGAAGAAGAGCCCGCACCGAGCTCAGTCAAGCTCTCATCATCCACATTGGGAGAGCCTTTGCCTGCCCAGAGAGAGCTAGAGCCTGTCCAAGGTCACACAGCAAGGCAGGGGAGGTACCTTTGCCCTCGTTGAGGCTCTTGAGAAATGGCTTGAGCTTCTTCTCATAGAGGATAGCACCTTCTGTGTGTCGCTGCCGAAGGGTCACCCATGTCTGCTCCAGCCGGGCAATCTGGGGAGATCAGACTGTGAGCAACCAGCCAGGGAAGGGGCACGGGCCACAGGCCACCCTGCTGAGTGGACACCCAGATGTAGGATAGTAATTATTGTCATGGTCACCATTCAGGTATCAGTGACAGTGCTTGCTGCATTTCACAATCTCTCTTGAAGCCCCTTGCAACAATTCATTTTATGAATGAGGGAACGAAGCCTCAGGGGAATGACTTGCCCAAGGACATTCCAAAATTAAGTGGCAGAGCTGGGAATTGAACCATGGCTTCTGGGACCCTGTTGTTACTATTGACTAGGCATAGGAGAGCAAGTAGAGTGTGGATGAGGTTCGGGCTCTGAAACTAAACAGACCTGGTTCAAATCCCAACTTTTTCAGCCTCTGGCTGTGTGACCTTAGGCAAGTACTGCTGTGCCTCTGTTTTGTCCAGAAGTAAAATGGGACAATAAAGGCACTTACTTCACAAGATTGTTTTGAGGAATCAGTGCTTGTAAAGCACCTAGGTGTAGCACCTAGCATATATTAAATGCTTGCTAAAATATAGCCATTTTATATTTATTCTTGAAATTCATATAATATTCGTCACTCATTTTACAGGTGGGTAAACTGAAGCCCAAAGAAGGGGAGAGACTTGAACTCAGTTCTAACAGTTACCCTTTCACAAATGCTGCCTAAAAGTCACCAAGTTCTTCCTGATTCAATCAACATATGGCCATCCCTAAGGAATACATTCCAGGAATGCCTGCTCCTCCAGGCAGCGACTACCTGAAGCCCAGCTCAAGATGCGCCCCTCAGTACCTGAGCCATATCTAGGGCGCCCATGACCGCAGCGAAGCTGAACATGTTGCCCATGGTCCCCCGAAGCTCGGCCGCCAGCTGGATGGTCTTGTGCAGAAGCGCTGCTCGCTCCTCGGCGGAGCCCGTGCAGCCCAGGATGTCCACGGCCAGCATGATGGACATGGTGTGGAACCTGTCAGAGCCGCCAGGTCAGAAGGGAGGGGTCCTGTCACTGCTTGTGGTTGGGCGCCGAGCCCAAAGTGACAGGTTGGAAAGGGTCAATGAGATTGGGGGGCGTGGCCAGAGTGAGGGAAAGCAAGCCCAAGGGCTTCTGATTGGTCACTGTGAATCAGGGGCGGGGCCAGAGGCTTTTGAGCGCCAGACTGAGGGGCTTGTGATCGATTAGCGGAATTCCACCGGCTGCACACTTTTAGGAAAGAGTACCTAGAGATGATGGGCGGGGCCAAGGCTCATGGGGTGTGACTGGTCAAGAGGGCGCAAAAGATGAAGCCGGAGACAGAGGACTCAGTCTTTTGGGAAATTAGGATTGCTTGGAGCTGGACACCGAGAAGTAGCGTTTCGTCGATGGATAGATGGATGCGTAGCCAGAACCCGTGGGAGCCGGGCCGGGGATTCTGATTGGCCAACCGGCCACAGCAAAAGGGCAGCGAGGTAGCCCGGGGGTTCCCTCCCCTCGAGTCCTCGGGGTGCCAGTGCTTGCCTTACCTTTCCAGCAGGTCTAGTCGTAGCTGCCGGCCATGGGGGAGGGTGAGCAGCTCCATGCCCCAGCGGACTCCCATTAGGGTCTGCATCTCCTTGGTAACTCCCAGTATCCTAGCAACCTGCAAGGACGCCCAGAGGGCTGATTAATTTCCTGTCGCGGCTGGCCCAAGCCATCTGGGAGTCAGAGAGCTTTATCTAGGAGGGCAGTGTGGCTGGGAGGCCGGGTTTGAATTCCAGCTCTAACCCTCTGCCGTGGAGCAAATGAACCTCATTTTCTCAGAAATGGGGGATAAACGGGAAAATGCCCAGAGGTGTTTGATATGTGCCAGAGGTAACCAGGATACCTTTATCCCAGAAGGCAAATCTGAGGCCCAGGGAGGGAAAGGGCTTGTGCAAGGTCACACACTGGCGGGAGAACCCAGAGATGCTCTCTTCACACCTAGCACTCTCCACAGGGGAATATCTCTACACCTTTTTCTTGCTTCCTAAGCTCAGAGACCAATGTGGCCTCCAAATAAAGTAATCAGTGCCCCCCCAAAAAAACTTCAGAGGGAGAAACTGAGGTGCAGAGAGAGTCTGTGTCCTTAGATGGTCAGGATCCATTCAAAGCAAAGGCCCAGGCATTTGACAATTTAGGAGTCTAGCCTGTGAGTTTTGCTTACTTTGTCCACTAGGGGGAGTGGGGGCAGGTAGCCTTGGCTTCTACATTTTACATTCCCCCAACAGCCAGGCTGACTCTCAGCAAACTCAAAAAGTGCCCCAGGGAGCCACACACCACCAACTTTCAGCACTGTCCAGTTCCAGTGCCAAACTGGAGGAAGCAAGAATATCTTGTTGTTTGTTGTTTCAAAGGAGAAAATTAAGGCCCAGAGAGGTAAAGTGATCAGTTCAGAGTCACACAGCAAGTGACGGACAGCTATGAAGCCAGAATCCAGGCCCACTCACTATGCTTGGGGGAATTTAGGGGTAGTTCCTCACCACCCCGACCTCTGTCCCAAAGCCAGAGGACAGAGGTGTCCTCTCTGCCCCGGTGCTCACACAGCACCTACCAGGCAGTCAACTTTGGTGACATGTCGGGCCAGCGTCCGGGCATCCACCTCTGCTAGCAGCTCCTTGACCTTGCGCAGGAGGCCCACCTCCAGTGGCCTGTTATCCTTGGGGATCAGTAGTGACTGGAAGGTGGCTGGGTTGAAGGAAGAGGTGGCTTCCACAATGGGGACCGTGAAGGTCCTGCCCCAGTCCCCCTCGGGGGCCCCATTTTCTGACAGTTCCTTTAGCTTTTCCCCGTAGCTCCTGGCCTGCCGGCTGGAGGCCTCGGCCGCTGCCCACTCTCGGCTGCCACAGACAGGAGGCTGGAGCTGGCAGTAATGGCCAGAGTCCGGGTCACTGTAGCTGCTAAGCGATGGTGATGGGGAGGCCTTGCAGAGTGTGTGGGAGGGACTGGCATAAGGGCCCTTGTCCGATTCCCTGGGGGGCTTTGGGGCACTTCCAGGACACAGCTGGGGTTCACTGGAGCGGCGGGTGACAGGAGAGGCAGGCAGTACTGTGGCAGAGGGAGCTACAGGGGCGGCGTGGACACGGGTCACTGCGAGGAGATAAAGAAAGAGAAGCAGTTACCAGGCCTCCCCACCCAGTGAGGTTCTCCTATCTCTGCCCAAAGTACAGGCTCCATCCACCCTATTGGGGTGATGTCTCCACCTCCCTGCCCCGAGGCCGGGCCCAACAGGCTCTGGCAAACTGACCAGGCCTCTGTGACACTCTCAAGTCATCTGAACCCCAGGAATTTGCACACTCCTACCCTAAGGCTGCTGCAGCTGTGGGGAACCACCGAACTACTCAGAGATTCCCATGACTCCGGGATGCTAAGAAGCCCTTGCCGGAAGTTCGTTGTGTGGAATTATTTCTCAGTGAATTAGCAATAGTGATTTATTGAGGACACATGCGCCAGGGGCTGGTGCCATGCAGGCAGTACCCTGGGCAGCAACAGCAAAACCATCATCCAAAATTAGAGGTGCTGTATATTGAGCTCCTACTGCCTGCAAGATCCTTCCTCGCACATTAGTCCACTTAACATCCCAGGGGGCAAGTACTTTCATGATCCTCGTTCTACCGTGACGAAACTGAGGTTCAGGGAGGTGAACTGAGCTGCCTGAGCGCTCCCGCCCAGCAAGGGATATAGCCGGGATTTAAACCCTCAATCCTGGATACTTTACACTGCCATGTTGCTGACAAAATGTGCCATAAATAACCCATGGCGAGGAATTTTAACTTTTGTACCCAGGAGAGTTGTCGTGCAGGGACATTTGTACGTTTGTAGTCATGACAAGTCAGCGGGCCCACGCTTAGGGAGGAATTTGTGACAACCTGTGTAGACGACACTGTACCAGGGCACCTGCAGCCAAAGATTCCCTCCAGAATACCCACCTCCCTGCATGCTTTGCCTGCCATGTGGACAATGTGCACTATGGCCTGTTGAAATCACTCTTTTTTTTTTTTTACGTTCAGAAATGAAGTAGTGGCTTATTTCTACAACAGGAGTTTTCTTTGTATTTAAAAAAAGGGGGGGGCGGTGCTCTGTACTTTCTGCTCAATTTTGCTATGACTCTAAAACTGCTCTAAAAAAAATCAAGCCTATTTAAAAAGGAAAAGAAAGGGAGGAAAAGACAGAAAGCACAACGAGACTAGCCTCTTTGAGCCAGCCACTTGGAAGCAGGGACCACTCAGCCAATGCAGGGCCCAGCAGGGCCCCGTACATGTGGTAGGTGCTTGACCCTTGGGGGCCGAGTGCTGCCGAGTAAGCCCACTTTACAGCATTTGAGCCCAGATTCAGTAACACAGCCTTTAGCAGACGTCTCTGCATTCTGGAGAATGCGCTAGAAACCACTTCATGGACAATGTGCCTCATGCCCAGTCAGGGCTCAATAAATCACTGCTGAATAAGCCATGGATATGTTTTGTATGTCAATATCATAGTTCCGCTGGCTGGTTTTTAGCATAAATTCTTGCAGGGCACCACTCTCAGTAAAGAGGTAGAAACACACATAATCACACACTGTAACAGAAATCATCGAAGATGGAGCTCACGTGCAAGGTCACTCCCACCAGATCCCCCCCACCCCTCCCCCTCCATTGGCCATACCAGTACTGTAGGCGGGGGAGCTGGGACTCTCGGAGATGGGGGACATGGGCGAGTGCAGGTCTGGGATCTGGTCCATGCTGAGGGCACAGTTGCGGATGGATTCCCGGGGGTGGGGCAGGGAGGTGCTGTGGAGCAGACACCCTCATGAGCAGAAAGTCCAGAGGGCAGGGTCCTTAGCTGGCCTTAGGACCACCGCCTCTCCCTCCATCCTAGATGGACTGAACTTCAGAGGCAGAAAAGGCCTGGAGATTGTAGAGTCCAATCCCCCCAACTGGCAAATGCAAAACTAAAGCCCAGAGGAGGGTGTGTTTGTGCAGTCCACCACCCACACAACTGCTCTCTTCCCGGAGAATCTTGCCCCCACTTGGAGAACTATCTGGGAGGCAGGGCTAGCAGAGAGGATGGGAAGCCTAAGGGAACTAGGCGCCCCAGCCTGGCACCTCCTCACTGCACCCACACTGCTCAGAATGCCAGATCCTGGCACCATCATGGTCACTGGTTCTAAACCACAGGCAAAGCAGCTACTGCCCACAGGGTATCCAACCAGCAATTTCTGGGCTGATAGCACCCAGCGCAGGCCTAGGGAGAGGGGACCCATGCAAGTACTGGGGGCACAGGATGGCAGGTCTCTGCCAGCAGCCAGGGAGGCCATGAAAATTAGGAGCATAGACTTTGGAGTAGCAGACCTGGGTTTGAACCTCAGTCTCCCCCTTCTCCAGCAAGTGGCTTCCCCTCTCTAAACCTATCTCCTCATCTGTAAGGTGGGATTGTGCACAGGAGCCACCTCCTGGGGACATGGGAGTTGACCAGATGGGGCACAGAGAACACATAGCACAGGGCTGGGTGTACACCAGGGCCTCAGGAATGAGTCACTGCTGTGGCTTTTCCTGGCCTCATCTCACACCGCCCCCGAAGCAACCAGGTGTCATCAAAATGTTGCTGGGACATCCCATACCCCGTGCAGTGGTTTGCACCCTGCAAAGTCTTCCGCTCTAATGCCTGCCTTAACCTAGGCAGGTGGGTGCGGAGGGGTAGCAGCGGTGGCAGGGCCAGGACAGCACCCAGGGGTCCCCCTAGGCCAGGGGGCTGAGTGGGGGCCCTCTATGGGCAGGGACATCGTCATGAGAAAGGAGGCGTGGCAGGGCTCAGGGAGCTCAGCTAGTGCTGGCAGAGGTGAGGCTGCAACCTGGACCTGGCTGCCTGCAGGCCCTCCGCTCAGCCCGGCCTCCCTCCTCTCCCTCCCTGCACACCCAGGCTCCAGGACAGTAATTCCGCCCAGTTCAGTGCGACTGGGCCTCCTGTTCTTCACCAGCCCTCTGATGACTGATACCCCGACTTGACAAATGGGGAGACCGAGGCCTAGGGTGGGGTCTTTGCTTACCTGGTGGGGCAGCCGTCGCCGCGGGTGACCTTGTCGGCGGTGAGCCCATCAGTCATGGTGACACTGCGCCGCTTCATGTGGCTGCCCTTGGGGCCCGAGGGGCTGGCGGGGCTGGCAGCCTTGCCGCTGCCCTGGCCCAAGCCATAGCAGGCCTCCAGGTAGCGCAGCGGGAAGGTGCGATTGACGGGGCAGTAGATGATGGCCCCGCTCTGCTCCGACACAGCCTTGCGACTGCCCACGTGGTACCGCACGAGCGCCGGCACGTGGTCGAAGCTCTCCTGCTCAAACAGGTACTGGATGTGGGTGTAGCTCTCACCCGCCTTCACCACGACCTTGTTGATCTTGAAGTGTAAGGCCTGGTTCCGCCAGCGGCAGGTGAGCACATAGTCACCCAGGCTGGTGAGTGAGTCCCGGATGAGGAAGTCGCCATTGCGCTGCACCAGGGTCTCCGAGACCTGCGGGAGGCAGGGGTCAGGCTGGAATAGGGCAGGGGCAGGAAGGGGCCAGACCCAGGATCTGGGAGACAGTGAACAGAGAGATCTAAAGTTTGGGAGAGGGGCAAGCAGTGACCCAGATTCAAGGGGGCGATGCAGCCACAGGCCCTGGGTCTGTGCACGGAGGCTCAGGAAGGGGAGGATTAATACCGTGGAACATATGTTACCGGGACACCGAGTCTGGGGGTGCTAGGGGTCACCATGATCTGAAGCTCAGGCCTCAGACCTGCTCCTTCTCAGGGCCCATGCTGGACAGAGTGAATTCCCAATCCTCATTCCTCCAAGCACCCTGTGCTCTCACATGGCTCTGGGCCTTCGTAACCTCAGGCTGCTTTTTCTGCCTGGACCAACCTTCCCACCTTGCCCACCTGGTGAACTCCTATCCACCTTTCACTGGCCTCTCTCATCAGCGCCCCCTCCTCAGGGCTCGCCCACATTCCCTGCTGGGCACTCCATTCTTGCACTTCCTCCACTGGGCTCTGACTGCCTACCTGTCATCCCCCACCTTGGACTACCAGCCCTCAGGGGAAGCCAACACCCCTTTTCTCTCTGTATTCCTGGTCCCCAGCATGGGGCCTGGCAGAGTTGATGCTGGACAAAGACTGAGAGGATGGTGAGAGACAGAATAGGTGACTATCAGCCTGTCTGTGCCTCAGCCCAAAAACTCAACTGTGCCAAAACTGAGAATCCTAAGCACTGACACTCACTAACCAAATGCACAAGGGGCTAATGTATAGCCCCACAGGGAAAAAAAAACTTTAAAAAATAAGAGTAGTAATAATAGCAATAGCAACATTAATAATAACATGGAGCTCACTGCATATCAGACATCAAGTTAAGCACTTTAATTCCCACAACAACCCTTTAAGGCAGGTACAGTCATTGTCCCCCATCTCACAGATGAAGAGACTGAGGCTCAGAAAGGTGAAGTGACTTGTACGAGGTCACACAGTCAGTAAATGACAGAGCTAGACCCCACTGCCATCCACTCAGATTGAATCTACCAAGCAATGGATGAGAGCCTATCAGGGCAGGGCTGGCCAAGGTGGGGGGTGGAAGCATCTAGGGCTGAGGTCCCTCCCAGGGCCCACTCACCTCACGGGGGATGCGGCCATGGTACCAGGCATGGCTGCGGAGATCTGTGCTGCTGAGTTTGAGTTCCTCTTCCAACTCCTTGTGCAGTTTCTCAGGTGAGGAGTCCAGGATGTACTTCTCCTTGGAGAACTGGGCAGGAGACAGCAAAGAGTTGGCATCCGGTCTGAAGCCCCTTTCCTTCTTCTCTCTCACCCCCTCCCCACCCCAGGTGAGCTGCCATCCTTGGACCTTGGGAAGACTTAGGCTCAGGTGCCAGAAATGTCCTCACCCGCAAGTCCCTCGCCTAGCAGGAGTAAGGAAATCTCAATTAGTCCTACTATGTTCCAGGCCCTGTGCTATGTGCCAGGAGAAAATGAGGCAAGAAGCAAACCAGTCCCTGTCCTCAAGGAAGGTCTTAGTCTAAGAGGGGAAGCAACAGCGACATGAACATTTGAGCAGAATTAGGTCAGCACCACAGTACTGGACAGCGGCAAAGAGCCAGGCGGGCTTTTAGGAGGGAGAAGAAAACGTAAAGGCGAGGTGGAGTGGCCCGGGAAGCCTTCCTGGAGGGAAGGGGAACAAAACCCTCGTTCTGCACCAAAAACACCAAACTGATCTTGCATTGGGAGAGGGAGGCTTTCTACAGGTGGATCTCGGAGGTAAGGCAGCAGGTACCCAGGAAAAGGCATGGACAAAAACCTAGGGCTGGGTGGACGAGGAAACATTCTGGGATGCTGAATTATACGTTGGAAGGCTGGAGGAGGCAGCTATAAACAGGGACGCAGAGGCCCCCACACAGACATTTCTGCTGTCCTTTACAATTCCCAAAGCCCTTTCCACCTTGCCACTCAAGCAATCCTGGCCAGATGGGGAAACTGGCCGAGCAGAGAAGCCAAAGGGCAGCCAATGGAGTTAATGCCCAGGACTCCCCCCTTCCACCTGCCAAAGGGGGAGACTCCTGGTTTCCTGGTTACTGTGGCCCAAGGTTGGATACCCAAGAGCAGAGAGAGGGGAGTTCCTGCTGTCAGGTGCACCCCCACCACGAAGTCCTGCCCAACCATGTGAGTTCTCTGGGCCTCAATTTCCTCCTCTGCAAAATGGGCATAATGACAGAACTTGCCTCATTGGATTCCAAGGATGAAAGGAGACAATACTCCAGAGTACTGTAACTAGCCCATAGATGTCCCTGTCACTGTGAGGACACCTGAAATTACTTCCTCTCCCTTCCCCCAACTCCAGGCCCCAAAGATGGCTGCTCTAGGATAGGTAGACCTGGCCCTGAACTGGCCAGACAGCAGGACAGATGAAAGAGAACACCAAAGGCCTCGCTTCAGTCCAGGTGACAGTCTTTCCCCAGGACCCCCTACTCACTGGGTCAGAGGGTCCTCCAATCCACTCCCTGCCTTTTCAGACTTCTTAAAGATCTCAGAGCCTAACTCTGCAGCTCCATTCCCCACCCCTCTGCTCCCACACTGCCTCAGTTTACTCCCAAGACACTAATTCCCAGCTTCAGCGATATCTAGAGTCTCTGACATTATTTCAACAATGATTAAGCCCCCGCTCTGGGACAGGTCCTGTGCTAGGGACTGAGGCCCCAAGGTCATCAGGACAGGTGACTTCTGCCTTTGCAAAGCCATGCAATTCCAGGGTTTCTGAATGTTCAGGGATGCACAGAGAACTCTGGGAGAGGCTAAGAGTGTCCCTCCTCATCTAGTCAGGGAGTAGAGTCCCTGAAGAGGTGAGATTTCCATGGAGGCCTGCAGAAGGACTGGATGAGCCCAGCAAAAGTATCAAGGCAGGGACAGACAGGCAGACAGGTGGGCAGGGAAGAGCTTCTGGGAAGAAAGTGGCAGAGCCAAGGTCCTGGGGTGGGGGAAAGTTTCAAAGGGTCAGGGATGATGGGGGCAGGTGGGGCAGGGCTGTCAGGCTGCTGTAGGGAGCTGGAGGCCACAGAGGGTTTTCAGGATTCGGTCGGCTGTGTGAAGAGTAGCTTAGTGCTTTCCAGGCAAAGGCAGGGAAGGGTGGGGCACAGGGGCGGGGACTGGGGAAAGGGTGTTTAAGTAGCCTTTGACTCAGTATGGGGAAAGATGGTGGAGGGGGTCAGAGAGGATTTCAGACCGAGATCCTGGGAAGACAGCTTGGTGATGGGCACATGAAAATCTGGGCATTGAGGAGTGTGTAGGGCTCTGGGACAGATGGTGGGGGTCGATGATGGTACAGGTGCCAGGAAAAGATCGGTTCTGGGGATGAGGATTTTTAACATCCTCCTCCACCCAGGGTAGAAACTGATACCCCCAAAGGGCAGTTAGGCCGAGAGCTGAACTGAGATTGGGTCCCCTCTGATACCCACCCTCCTGTATGCAGTTCCCTATTCTTCGGGGTCCTTGGTCTCCCTCCTTATATCACACCACACGCTGCGGAGGGAAGACTGGGAAGCACGAGGGAGAGCACAACAGTACCCCAGACTTCCCGGGGTTCTTCTCCTTGATAAAAAGCATATAACTGAGAACTCACCCCAGTTCCACGGCTGGAGCAGGATGGACACGGGGCAAAGAAGGGGAGCGGGTTGTGTGGTAAAGAACCTGGCCACAGGACTCTGCCCACCACTGTGTGACCTTGAGCTAGTCATTTCCCTCTCTGAGCCTGAGTAGCCTCATCTGTAAAGGGGGTGGGGGTGGGGTGCTAGGCTCCACGTTTTCGATGCTCACAGGGAGAATCTGGGGTAACCAACTAGGTCCTCCCACACACCGAGGGTGGGGAACCCTAGGGTCCTTGTGCCCTCTTCCTGACTCTCCACTCGGGGGTCCCCAGCTCCCAAAACTGGGGGGTGGGGTGGTAGGAGTTGCGGGCTGGGGCGCAAATGCAGCATCCTTGAGCTCGGCGCACCCCTATTGGCCAGAGATGATCTCACCGCCTCCCCGCCTGCGCGCGCCTCATTGGCCAGTGCGGGGATGCTGCGCTCCGCTGCCGGCGGGGCCGTCATTCAGGCGGGCTCGGAGCGTGTGTGTGAGCCTCGCGGAGCGCAGAGGTGACGCGCCCGCCGTCCCCCAGGGGGCTCCGGAGGCAAAAGCGCAGAGACCCCCGGTCAGGGTCTTGACCCCTAACCCCCAGCCCGCGCCCAGCAAGCCCCCCTCCAGCTTCCTACGGTCTGGCAACCCCAAGCAAGGCTATCCCCAGATGATGCTCCGCAGAGAGGCGGGGTCCGGGTCCTCCCCTCCACCCCCTTCCGTTTAACCCTTTCACCGCCGCGGCGCGGTCCCGCACTGCCCGGCCGGCTGGGCAGGGAGCCCCGCGCCCCGCGCCTGCCCCAGCCCACCTGGACGGCGGGAGGGTGGCGGGCTCTCTGGCCCCAGTCCCGGCACCCGCAGCATCCCTTCAGCTTCCCGCCCCTCACTCAGTCTTCGGACCCCAGCCCAGCGCCCCCGGTACAATGGGGAGCCAGGCTGCCCGGGTCAGCCGCAGGGGCCGGAGCGCTCGCCGGAGGACCGGCAGGACGCCGGGGGCCGCAGCTCCCGGTACCCAGTGCCCCAGCTCAGCTCCTCCTGAGAAGAAGGCACGACCCGAACGGCAGTCCCACAGCCCCGAGTCCCGGAAGCGGCAGCCGGGACCCTCACCCCGCGGAAACGGCTGGGCGCCCAGAGGTGAGGCTGGGGCGACCCCGCCCCCTCCCGCAGGGAGGACCCCTGCCCCTCCAGACCCTGCGAGGCGCCACCGGGCTGAGGCGCCCGGGCCCCGGAGCGGCCGGGGTCCCAGCCCGGAGCGCCTGGCGGGGACCGAGCCGCCCCCTCACCTGCACCTGCACGAAGGAGCCGCGGTAGAAGCAGCAGGCGGCGGCCGATAGGGCGCTCCACAGGCTGCACCGCTCGGTCATGGTGGGGCCGCGCGTCCGGGGCCGGGCCGGTGCGGGGGGCGGCGGCCGGCGGGGCAGGGGCGCGGGGACCGACCGGGCTGGGCACCGGCTGCGCGTGCCTCTCGGCGGCGCGATTACCTCATCGCCTTGGCGGGGGAGGAGCGGGGAGGCGGGGCGGGGAGACCCCACCCTCCAGCCGGCCAGGGGAGGGGAGGGGGCCATTGTTCCTCCCTCCGCCCGCCCCCCGCCCCCCGCCCCTCTGCCCGCGCGCTCCAGCCCCGCAGGGCTGCCTGGAGTCGGGGGATGCGGAGCAGAGGACCAGCCTAGGGGCCGGTCACTGGGGGCGGCGGGATGGGGTGGGGATGCCTGGGCTCGGGGCGGGGGTGGGGTCCTGCCTCTCCTACTCGCCGTACCCTTCGCTGACCCGGGGCGGGCAAAGACTTTGAATTAAATCATATCCAAAGCTGGAAAGAATCCCTGTATGCGTTTGACCAAATCCTTTGTGGCCTCGGGAAATCTCCCAGAGCCCAGGATTTGGAATCAGGGACTCTGCTGAGAATCGCCGGATGCTGATCTGACAAACTCTGGGGGTGCAAAGGGCCAGTAAGGCTCAATGCTTAGGGCACCAACCTGGGTTCAACTATCTGTCTCCACCTCCAACCCACCATCCCCTTTTCTCCGAGCCCAGATTCCCTCATCTGGAAAACATAACTGTGCTGACCTTATACAACTCTTCTGAAGCCTTGGCTGAGTTAATGCATATTAAGTTGCCAGGCATAAAGTAAGTGCTCAGTAAATGCATGCTATTATCTTCAAGCTTATTGCCTGGACTTTTCGTCCTAGAATTAAAGGGAGTCGTCGCTGACTCTGCATCAGTCAGGCCTAGGGTACAAATCGTTTTGACAGGCTGTGTGACATTAGGGATGTGAGGCTACCTCTCTTGGTTTCAGTTGTTTGATTCTTTGCTGCAAATACATCTGAAGCTCTGAGCATGGCGCTTAGTGTTTTATGGTCTTGGAACTTGAGAATCCTTGCTTTAGAATCAAAGTATTCACATCATGGTCTGAGACCCCTGCGGTTCTGGAAGCTAGTGCCTTAGGGCAGGAGTGGACTTTTGGTAACTGACTATTGATTTTACCACCGTTTGAGGCTTGAAGCTAAAACTAATGTTCTTTTGACTTCACCCTTTAGAGAGAACTGTTTAATCAGTTCCAGTCAGCAGGTATTATTTCTTTTATGATATTTTTAAATACATTTTTTAGCCCCACACACTAAAGGAAAAATACAAAGTTAATAATCCTCACAGGGATCTTACTACTACCAGTGATGGGGATCTCACTACCTTGCCAGGTAACTGAGAATTGTGGGCTGCTGAAATGGGTGCCCGGTGAGTCCTACCCACTGGCTTTGGTGCCAGGTCTCCCTAAGGCCTCTATCCCTCTGTGGTGCAAGGGCTCTAGATAAGTCAGGGTCCAGATTCCCTGGGCAGCTCCAGCTGAACTTGCTGCAGCCCTGGACTGCACTTCCTGGGCTCACCTAGTTTGCCTTCTGACCTTGCCCTTGCCTGTGCTTGGATCATTCTAGTGCCTATCTCTGCTTATCTTTGCTCCTTCTCAGCTTTTCCTATGGGGACAGGAGTTTGGTGAACATTCCTGGTCAACCCCAATGGCTTGGCTTCAATGCTTCCTCCTCCAGGAAGCCTTCCTTGATCTCCCCCTCCCCATCTCCCAAGCCGCAAGTCATCTGCCTCCTGAGCTCCAGTGGCTTCCTATCTGAGGCTTCTGATGATGAAGTGAGAAGTACTTCCCACGTTGCCCTTCACTAGTCACTTACACAGAGCTTCATAAGCAACATCTCAGATGATAGAATGTTCCCGAGGGCAGGAGCCAGGCCTGCCTGCTCTCTTCCAGGCCCAGCAACCCTACTTCTGGGCATGGACTCACTGAGCCCACAGCAATCCTATTTCGCATAGGTGAATACCGAGGCTAAGAGAGGCACCCCATATACCCAAAGTCATGTAGCAAGTAAGCGGCAGATCTGGGACTAAAATTTGGGTCTGCTGGATGAAAAACTAAAAGCCCAAACCACTGTGTGTGATTTTGTCCTGATCCCCACGTGGACCAGGAACCCTTTGAACACAAGACCCGGAGCTCCCTGCCTCTATCTACTGTATGCTCCATACCCAGCAGGCAGCCTGGCTCAGTGGAAGGCCAAGGACTTTGTTTGTGGCCTTGGCATCAAATAAAATTGGATGGCAGGCGCACCTGGGTGGCTCAGTTATGCATCTGGCTTTGATTCAGGTCATGATCTTATGCTTCATGAGTTCAAGCTCCACTTTGGGCTCTGTGCTGACAGCTCGGAGCCTGGAGCCTGCTTTGGATTCTGTGTCTCCCTCTCTGTCTGCTCCTCCCCCACTCAATCTCTGTCTCTCAAAAATTCCATTGCAATCTCAGTTCCGCCCCCTGGTAGTGGTGTGGCTGTGGGCAGATCACTGTGCATCTCTGGGCCCCAAGTTTCCCAAACGTAAATGGGTACACAGGAAGGCCTTCACCGCCCAGTGATGAGGGAAGACGTCAAAGACCTCCTTCATGTACAGAGCTCATAACTGTCCCCTCCCGGTGCTGGCAGCCAGCACAGGGCTCTGCATACAGTAGGTGCCCAAGACGTGAAGTTACTCTCGTTATCATGGTTTCAAAACTGCATCTCCACATTCCCAGCGCCCAGGACAAGTTAGGTCTGGGGTAAATGTGAGCTGTGTCCATTATCTGTGATGAAAACTGAGCCATCTTTCTTGCTCCAGCCTCTTAGCCTCAGCACATGCCAGAGACCGCGTGGGATGGGAGCTCGGTCTGTGCGTGGAGACAGCTGCCCGGCCCTGTCCTGCTGGTGGGTGGGCGGGGCCTGGTGGTAACACACGGTCGGGTGTCCTGTGTTTGGGGCTGGGAGAGAATGGCATGGGAAGAAGGTCCTCGGGAGTGAAACCAGACGCCCGGCTCCATGCTGACACAGAGAGGCCCTCTCCTGGGAGCAGGCAGGGAGGTCGGGCTCCTAGCAAGGCTCAGAAGAGAACTCTGCCTTTCATGGGACAGGCTCTGAGCTGCCCAGTGTCCCCCCCCCCCAAGACCCTCTTACCTTCACGTAGTCCCCACCAGCCTCTGGTTCTCCAGCGGCCCTGGAAGGAGAGAAGAGAGCTGAGCATCCTCAGCCCCACCTGCCTGATGCTAACATCTGGCCCTCAGGGCTCCAGACGGCTCATCCTGAAGGTAGGAGGGGGCCTTACAGCTGGGAGCACTAGCTGGAATCCTCCACTCTCCAGCTATGCGATGTGTACAAGTCCCCTTACCTCTCTGAGCCAGTGGTTTCCTACCTGTAAATTGGGGATAATGACAGTCTCTGCCTCAATGAGCTGTTGCAAGGACTCCAGGAGCCCCAAATCACTGTCTTCACCCGCTTCAGGACATCTGAGTGTTCTCACGCCTCTCCACTCCAAATGCTGGTGGCCCTGGGCTGGGGCTCAGCCTCCTCTCCCCACCACCACCCTGCACTCTCTTCCTGGGTGGAGTGGCCCGCTTAGCAGCACACTGTGAACCCGTTCCTGATGACTGTTGGCTGTGGAATGGAACCCCCAGCCTTCAGGGTGGCCGGGATGGGACCTGGAGAGGCCAGAGGCCAGGAGTGGCTATCTTTCCCAGGTGCCAGACTAACCTTCCTTGTGGGGGACACTGTGAGCTACCTACCTGTCCCCCCCCCCCCCCCCCCCCCCCCCCCCCCCCCCCCCCCCCCCCCGCCGTCCTTGGCCTTAAGGGCCATCTCTTCTCTGATGCAGCCTGGAACTGCCCCTTTAACATCAGCCTCCCAAACCCACCTGCCTCCTCAGCATCCCCTCTTGGACGTCTGAAGTCATCTTGAACTTGTCTTATCCAAAGCAGGGCTGTTACTACCCGCCCCCTGCTGCCACACCCCTGCTCCCCACATCCGCTTCCCATCTTGGTTGATGTCAGCTGCATCCTTGTTGCTTTGTTTGGCAAGAAAAAATCTGCAGTCATCTGTGCCTCCCCTCTTCCACTCACACCCCACACCCAGCCCATCAGGAAATCCTGCAACTCTGCATTCAAAATAGATCCTGACCACTTCTGTCCGAGAGGCAGCCCTCGCTCCGTCCGGGAGCCTCACATCCACTGTGGGGCACACAGCAGCCTTCTCGCTGGCTGGCTGTCCTCACAAGTTCTGGGCTTCCACCCCACCCCCCAGTGTCACTCGGATGAAAACCTAAGCAGGTCACGGGGCACACAGCAACCCCACCCGGCCTGGGCTCCCTCCTCTCATGGAACAAGATGTAAACACCTCTCTGTGGCTTGCAAATGGCAGGCCATGTAATTTATCTCCCCAACCAGAACTTTTCTTCTCTTGTGAGAGTAAAGAGCCATCATGGTTATGCCAGAAAAACAGGCAGAGGGGCTCCTGGGTGGCTCAGTCAGTTAAGCATCTGACTTCGGCTCAGGTCATGATCTCGCAGTTTGTCAGTTCAAGCCCCGTGTCGGGCTCTGTGCTGACAGCTTGGAGCCTGAAGCCTGCTTTGGATTCTGTGTCTCCCCCTCTCTGTGACCCTCCCCTGCTCACGCTGTTTCTTTCTCTCTCTCAAAAATAAATAAAACATTAAAAACATTTTTTTAATAGGGAGGGAGGTCCCACAGGGGGAAACTGCTTCCTCACATACAGAAGCCCCATATTTAAATTTAAATGTAATAGATTTAATAAGAGAAATTTAATTTAAGACAACACACAAAATCTGAGCTTAAACTATCATGGGTTGAATTCCACACAGTGTTCCCCCAGCTCCTGAGGCCACGGGGCTCCTCATTGAGAAGTTGTTTGACAGCCCTCCCTGTTCTGACATTTTAGAGTGCCCCCCCCCCCCCCCCCCCCCCTCCCCCCCCCCCCCCCCGCGCTGCTAACCTTCCCTCTGGGCACCTGGGTGGCTCAGTTGTTTAAGCTTTCAAATCTTGGGTTTCTAGCTCAGGTCATGATCTCACAGTTGATGAGTTCGAGCCCCATGTTGGGCTCTGCACTGACAGTGTGGAGCCTGCTTAGGATTCTCTCTCTCCCTCTCTTTCTCTGCCCCTCCCCTGCTCTCTTTCTCTCTCAAAATAAACTTCAAAACAAAACAAAAAACAGAGCCTCTCAAGCTGCACCCCAGTCACAGCCACAGCAGGTTTCCAAAGCCAGTTTGGTCCCCTCTGTCCAGCAGCGGTGGGACCCAGGTAGAGTGGGGACTCTTCCCCCTTATGCCCCCCAACCCCCCTCACCTCTGCCAGCTTTTCCCAGGTGAGGTATCCCATCCCAGCTTCCGGCTATTCAGTCCCGGAAATCTGCCCGCTGCTGGGAAAAGATTGGCCAGGACACTGGGATCACTCCAATGCTTCCTCTGTGCTTCCTGTCTACTTCCCTTTGGGCTCTGGGGAGGGGGGAGAGCCTCGGAGAAGGGGGTGCCTGCTCCAGGGATCAAGGGGGCTGGGTGGTCCGAGCCAACAGGGGAGCTCAGGGCAGAGATCGAGGCCCAAGAAGCCGGGCCACACTCAGTCCCCATCACCCAGCCCCTCTACAAGACTCTGGAGTTTCTAAACCATATTTTCTGCCTCCGATCCACGGCCATCACCCGCCTGGACTATCGCCAGCGCCTCGGCACTGCCCTCCCCGCCTCTATCTGTGTCTTTTGTGACTTGTTCTCACTCCAGCAACCAGAGCACTGCTGTTAAAATGGAAACCAAATCTTGGATTTCCTCTGCCTCAACCCATGCGAGGGGCCCTCAGTGTCACTCGGAGTAAGGGCCAAAGTTCTCCTAATAGTCTTACAGACTGGCTCCTCACCACCTCTCTCACCCCACGTCCTAACCTGCTCCCTTCACTCACGCTGCTCCAGCCATGCGGGGCTTCTTGCTGGATTTTGTCCCCACCTCAGGGCCTTTGCACTTTCTTTTTAAAAAAATTTTAAGTTTATTTATTCATTTGTGAGATGGGGAGGGGCAGAGAGAGAAGGAGAGAGAATTCCAAGGAGGCTCCACACTGTCAGCGCAGAGCCAGATGCACGGGGCTTAACCAACTGAGCCACCCAGGAACCCCAGGGCCTTTGCACCTTCCATTCCCTCTGCTGGAATATTTGCCCTCCCAATAACACTGAGCTCCCTCCCTGCCCTCCATCAGATCTTTACTAAAATGTCCCCTTCTCGGTAAGGCCTTCCCCTTGCCACCCATCCAAAAGTGTGACCTTCTCCACATTCCCCACCTTCCTTCCGTTTACTGTTTCTCTGTAGCACTTGCATGTGACCTGCCACACATTGGCTCTCTTCTCTTCCTAGAACATAAGCTGCACAAGGACAGGACTTGGGATCTGCCTAGAACAGTGCCGGGCAGCCCATAAAGATTTTTTTGCATGAATGAGCGTCACACAGCAGCCCCACGCAACCCTGAGGACAAAGTCTGGTTCTCGTGGCTCAGCTCTCTGTGACAGGCACGGTCAGCCATCCCTCCTCTTACCCCTTGCTCCTTCTTGCACTCTAGCCTGCTTACACTTCCTCCAAAGAGCTCTGCCCCCTCCAGCCTCAGGGCCTTTGCACAGGACGTTCCCTCTGCTTGGAACCTCCTCTCTCCCTTAGGCCAGAGTAATTCTTACTGGGTTTTCAGATCCCAGTTTACTGAACATTCTGCCTCCCATTGTAATGATCAAATTCAGGAATCAAATCTTCCATTGTTAAAATCACAGCTCCGTTAATTAATTATTTTTTACTTTATGGACTTAAAAGGCACTCACTCTCTAATATTAGTGGTGAAATCAATTAATAAATAATACTGACAATTGAGCTAAATCAGTCCCATTAATCAGCCACGTTAATTATTCAAATAACCAACCAACCCTTTTAATTGCCTGTATTAACTGATTTGTTCTGATAACGGATACCGCATACTGCATACATTAGCTTAATTAATTGGATTAATGAGCAGTAATTAGGGCCCATTAGGCTTTATTTCCCCAACACAGGTCCAAATCTGAGCCTCCAACGTGGCCCGGGAGCAAGGGCAAAGCTCCCCAAGGGACCCTGGAGGAGGGTAGTAGAGAGGAGCTGTGGTCCATTCCACCCTGGCCCTCCCTTGCCATGGGCAGCCTTTCCCTCTGCAGACGGGCCTGTGACCCATCTACCATCTCTCTGACACCCTGTCGGTTCCCTTGGACCTCCAGGCCTGGCCACGTGGCCTCAAGCGGACACTTCCCCACCTCTGCCTCCCGCTCCTCTGCTTTCCCCCGCCGTCACCTCTCTGAGGTCCAAGCCCTGTAAGAAGGGCATAACTATCTCCCCAGAGAGGGAAGAGGGTCCTCGTCTTGAGGAGGAAGGACTCAGAGTTCCCAAACAGATGTACTCCTCTTGCCACCCAAGCTCCCAGCCATGGCGATCTCCCAGCCTGCCCTTCCTGGGGCCTGAGATTCTTTCCACCCTTCACTCCGACCATCGCTCACCCCAGCAGAGAAGCAATAATACTGTTCTGCGCTCCTTAGGATTTCGCTTGTTTTTTTTTTTTTTTTTTTTTTAAGTAGGCTTCACAGTGCAGAGCCCAACATGGGGCTTGAACTCACAACCCTCAGATCAAGACCTAAGCTGAGATCAAGAGTTGGACACTTAACCGGCTGAGCCACCCAGGCGCCCCATGTGCTCCTTAGTTTTAAAGGCCTTGGGCAGAGAGAGCCCCAGACAGAAATCCCTGTCTTTCCCCGAGACCCTGCTATGGGGCCTTTGGGATTCTCTGCCAGGAAGGCTTGTCTTTAGCCCCTGCCCTGCCCTGTCTCCTGTAAGACGGGCCACCTCTGTCCTGAAATCCCTGCTCCTTCTCCACCATTCTGTGTCCTCAGTCTTCTTGACAGCGGTGAGCTTGCTGGCAGGTGTTCACAAAGGACACCAGCCCTGTGAGGATAGGCACACGGGGGCTCCTCTTTCCAGGGCAGAGCTGAGGATTCTGAGCCCTGAGAGCTACTAACTGAGACTCAAAAGGAGAGCGCATGTATGGGACGCTGGCTGAATGCTTGCAGTCTGGCGGCCCCGCTTGATAAGGGAAAAAACTGAAGCTTGTGACTTGATCCAGGACACACAGCCTTGGACTAGACCCGGGCTGGCTCTGCTTTGTCCCTTGCACGAGGCAGGCTCCCCTGGGAAAGGGGGACAACTCCAGCGCAGAGATGAGGAGAAGCTGGGGAGGGGAGGCCAAAGAGAAATATTTCAACCGGGCTAGGAGCCCAGAATCGATGTCAAGAAGGAGAAATGGGGAGCACCTGGGTGGCTCAGTCAGTTGAGTGTCCGGCTTTGGCTCAGGTCATGATCTCGCAGTTTGTGGGTTCCAGCCCCGCATCAGGCTCTGTGCTGACAGCCAGCTCAGAGCCTGGAGCCTGCTTCACATTCTGTGTCTCCCTCTCTCTCTGCCCCTCCCCTGCTCACGCTCTGTCTCTTTCTGTCTCAAAAATAAAGTATAAAAAAAAATTCTTAAAAAAAAAAAGGAGAAATGGAGCAGGGGGTGGGGGGAGAGGAGACCCTCTTGGGCTCTGGAGAGGGCCCCCCACTGAGAGGGAGGAGGCAGTGTGACCTTGGGCATGCCTCCCTAGTTGGGCCTCAGTGACCTCTTCTACAACATGGGCGCAGCGACAGTTGGAGCAGCCCCTGTGTGCTGGCTCTTCCCTGGGCCCTCATTTAGTCCTCATGATGACCCTGTGAAGCAGGTGCTATCACTGTCCCCAGTTTACAGATGGGGAAACTGAGGGTCAGAGAGGGCCAGGGAGTTGCTCAATGTCATCCAGTCAGTGAGGTATCCCACTCCCTCCCCGGCTCCACTCCACACAGGTCCAGGATTCTGCACACAGGGTCCCCTGAGGGTTTCGGGGGATATGGCTCCAGCCCCCGGGGGGGGGGGTGGGTACAGCCCGTCCTTCCTGAGCCAGTGCAGTTCCCACAGCCTGAGGCACCCGGGGGTCTCGAGGACTGTGAGAAAGTCTCCACAGGAAATGAGAGCCGGGAGCAGCTGGGCCCCTTCGGAAGACAAGGACCAGCCGCCCAGGGCCTGACGAGGCCGAACAGGCAGGGCCCACCACAGCCCCCTCCCCTGGTGGGTAATCACTACCAGATGCCCAGCAGCTGACGTCACTCTGCAGGGCCGAGAGAGGGTCGTGGGACTCTGGGGAGTGTTGGAAATTCTTGGACCAGAATCAACATTCCAAAAGGAAACGGGATGGGGTGGAGGCGGGGTGGGGGTGGGGGGTGTTCTTGGCTTGTTCTCAGTGCCTGGCACCAGGGCTGGGGCACCCGCAATGCAGTGTGACCCGCTGCCCTGTGGGGTGGCACCTTCCCCAAATCTCCTTCTGTGGGAGGGGGGAGGGTTCTGGGTCTCTGTGAACCCTCCTCAAAGGGGAGGTCCTCGTAAAACATAAGTCAGAGTGAGGCCCTCCTCTGCTCAAGGCCAGCAATGGCTGTATCTCGCTGAGTCAAAGCCCAATCCTTGCAGGGCCTTCCGTTATCTGAACTCATTTCCTCTCTGGCCTTGCCTCCCGCCACCCCACTCTCCAGCCCCCCATCTTCATCTCCTCCACCCACTGTGGGTCCCAGCTGCTCCTCAAACATGCCAAGGACCTTCCGACCTCAGGACCTTTGTACCTGCTGTACCCTTGGCCTGGTACACTCTTCCCCAGATTTCAAGAGTGTTTGTTCCTGCATCCCTTTGTTCAAACATCACCTCAAGGAGACCTTTTTCTTGGCTCACCTTCCTATACTGCTACCACCAGACATACCCCTGTCTGCCAAAACCATTTCCCTGGTTGGTTTTAGTATTCCACCCAGCACTTTTCTCTTCTGCTTGACCATATAACTTGTCTCATCATGTCTTCCCCCTGCACTGGAACGGGGGCTCCATGACAGCAGGGTTTTGTCTGCTGTGCTCACTGCTGTGTCCCCAAAACTTGGAAGAGTATCTAGGACATAGTTACATCACAGTAAACATTAAAATGAGTGACATTCCAACTCAACTAAATGTGCCATCTGGAGCAAGTTATTAACCTCACAAAACCTCAGGGTCTTCATCTGTAAAACGGGCCCCCATTATCTCTCTTCCAGGGGCTTATGGGAAGTCGTTTAAATAACAGTAGAAATGGCTTTGAGATTTTTATTTGCGGGAGGTAAAATGTGGTCTAGTGACTTGGGATCAAATCTCAGCTCTGACACTTAATCTCTCTGTGACCCCAGGAAAAGCCCTTCCCCGTCTCTTGGTCTTTGCATTGGTAAATGAATGAAATCTTGGTCTTTTCATTGGCAAATGTGTGGTAGATGGCGCCCGTTGGGTGCTTCAGGCAGGGGCTGGCCATTTATGAGCCAGATCTTGACCCCCTCTTGTAGGAGCCTGGCCTAAAAGTTCCTGTGTGCGGACATGGGTGTGGGTGGAAGGGGTTGGGGCCTCCTTTCCTTCACTGGGCCTCCCCTTCCTCTTCCTTACATGGAATGAAGAGGGGGGCTGTCAGGGCTCTCTGGACCTGCTGTTTCCCTGCAGAAGGCTGGGGTGCTAGCGGTAGGGTGAGGTTAGGCTGGTGCTGTCCTTGCTGGGCGCTGAAGGCCCTTCATCCCCGCGCTACCGGCCCCTCCTCCCTCCTTCCTCCTCATCCCCCATGATCTCATCAGGGAACAGGGCACCAGGAAACTCCTGCAGCTTCACCTCTTCCCCTTCCTTCCTTCTGCTCCAGGTGCTCCCTGCCTCCCAGGGGGTACGGGAGGGACACCACCTACCCCAGCTTAGACCACTCCCCGAGAAGCCACTGAGATGACCCCCTTGGGACACTCGGGAATGGGGCCCCAGTCCTGCTCAGTGGCAATTCTCAAACGCCCTCCTCTGCAGGCTGGGTGTGCCCTCAGAGACCATCTCATCCCCATCTGGGCTGCTGGGGAGATTAAGGCCCAGGGTAGGGCAGGGCAAAGCTGAGATCACACAGGCAAAGCAGCTCTCCTGACTCAGGGACACAGGGCTGGGTTTCAGGGACTCCTGGAAGAATCGTTTAATTCCTAGCCTCCTGCTTGGCCTAAGGGGCAAGTGGGACACTGGGTCTCAGGACACCAGGAGGGGGCTCAATCTGATCTGCTAACCTGACCCCACCTCAGGACCTTTGGACACTCCGGATGACTGGGGGTGGAGGGTGGAGGTCAGTCTCTCTATTTCCTCTGCCAGCTCTAGGCCAGGCCTGATGCCAGAGGCACGGCCAGGACCATCAGGGCCCCTGCACACAGAGGGGGAAGTCTGGGTCCTAGACCTGGCATTCTCAAGGTTTCTCATGACCATCCTTCCCAGAGGCCCTGGCCCTATTGGAAGGGAACAGGCTGCCCAGCCTTTAAGGGCACGAGCCAGGAAGGTGGAATTAAACCCTGGGTCTAATCTTCGCTACTGTGGAGAACCGGGCAAATAAATCTCCCTTTACTCATCTGTAAAATGGGGATGATAATAGTGCCCCTCTTCCGGGATGAGGAGTAAATGCCTGTGCGAGGACAAGGCAGGAACAGAATTACACCAAAAGAATGTTTAAAAGTCCCCGATGCTAACGATGCTAACGGGCATCCTGGTTTGTTGGTTGCCCCGGGGCCACCGATTTCCCCTCAAACCATTGCCATCCCGGCACGCCCTCCTCAGGCCCAGCTCGGTCACTCACCCTCTGGGTCCCAGTGACGGGCATCTTCGTCCCACCGCAGTCATGGTTCCCCGCAGTCACCGCCTACAGCCTAGGTACCTCCTCAGCCCGAGGACTCCCGCCTTTCTCAGCCACGGAACTCTGGAGCTCAGAGCCGTACTCCGGGGGCGGAGCCTGACCTGTAGACCACGCCCCTGGCACGCCCCTCGCGCTCTGCCGGGGCCCGCTCCACAGCCTGCACCTCCCGCTAGGAAAGACACGCCCCGCCTCGGGAACGCCCTTCCGCCTCCTGTCTCGCTCCGCCCACTGCCTCCATCTGTTAGTGTCAGAGGCCGGGAAGGCCACGCCCCCAGAGCACACCCCTCCCTCTGGCTTGGCCCGCCCCGTTCCAACGCCGCCTTCTCTCAGCCGTCCCCCAGGCAGCCTGAAAGGCCACGCCTCCAGACACGCCCCTCCACCCGCCCCTTTCCTGGTAACTCACGGAGCACATCTCAGACCCTAGGCTGCCTCAGAACGCCCCAGAACCTGTCAGGCCCTCTCTCCTGCATACAATCCTTGCTCTTCCACGCCCAAATGAGGCTGAACTAAGGATAGGATGGCAGAAGACGGCAGCCTGGAACAGCCAGAGATGATGGAAAAACATTTACCGTTAGTGGTGTGCCAGGCACTGTGCTAAGATTTTTAAAGTCCTGTATGTGACTCTTGATTCTCATCATGCCCTACAAGGTAGGTGCTATCATTATGCCATTTATCAGATGAGGAAACTGAGGCTCAGAAAAGGAAACAGACTTATCCAAGGTCATGCAGCCAGTAAGAGGCAGAGTCTGGACTAGATTCATTCTGAAGCTTTGCAGTCTCGCTCCCCACTGAACAGAGGTCTAGATTTAATTACCAGCACACAGAAACTGTGCTCGGTGTCTCAGGGCAAAGCCATTCAAGAGAGGTCTCAGAACCAGCCCTAGAGGTACTTTTGCTCAGCTGGGCTTTTTAATTTATTCCATTAAGTACATCTGACCAGTGTGGTTTAGACACAGGTCTGAGGGTTGAAAAGCTGGAGACTCCTGCAGTTGAGATTGAGGGGTCCCCCAAGGGCATGACTACACAGCTGTAGGGCTTAGAAGGTGGTGAGTACAATGAAAGAGATGAGTGGGCAGCCGCCGGAGGCAGGCAGTTTCTGCTCAAATCCAGCTCTCCCACCTTGGCTGAGTCTCAGTCTCCCCATCTGTAAGATGGGTCTAATGATATAATGATACATGCTTTTACAGAGCTTTCTGTAACGTATGTTTTGACACCCAGGAGAATGGGGCAAGGGTCATATCACTATGTGTATTTTTGCATGAACTCAACTCACTCTACCACCAAGTTAAGTGGCGCCCGGGGAGAGCAGGGTTGTCCAGCAGAACTAGAGGTGATTTGGGTGTAGGGGTCTGGGGTAGGGATCCAGTGACTGGGCTTGGGGCTCAACCAGCTTCTGAAGGCCCATCCTGGAGGCTGCCTAAGGCAAGTTCAAATCTTAACCTTGTCATTTGACAGATATGCAGCCTGCCTGGGGCAGATGACTTTCCCTCTCTGAATCTTCATTTCCTCATCTGTCATACGGAAATGACAGAATCTCCTTGCCCATTGTTTTTGTTTTGTTTTGTTGAGAATTAATTGCAAGTGAAAGACTAAGTGCAGTGCCTGGGCTGTAGTAAGCACTTAATTAATGTGCAGAGGGTTTATTCCCCCTAGAAGTGTGTTGGGGGGGGGCTCCTCTCCGGGCTCTATTGGCAGGAGGCTGGAGACACCCTTCCCGCAGATCCCACTCTCGCCCCCACCCCACTGTGGGCACCTACCTTTCCAGAGGCACATTCCTCGGAGCACTTTCTTCTTTTCTGTCTGCCCTGGGATCCTGAGGCTCTCTCGTGGGACCCATTGCTGAAGGGTTGGGTGCCACTGCTGGGGTGTCCTCCAGGGGGGCACTGGTCCCCACCACCACCTCCTTGGCTGCCTCCAAGCCTGGAGGGTTGAGCAGATCTTGGGACCCCAAGTGGGGTTCAGGGCCCACCTCCTTGGCCTTCTGGGTAGCCTGTTGATCCCGAGCTTTCTTGGTGCTGGGGCGAGGCATGGTGCCCATGTGGCTGTACATGTCACTGGAGCGGGCATAGGCTGGGGGGCTTTTGGGGACAGTCACCATGTCATCCTGCGTAGCCTCAAAGGTGTCACACTCCAGGCGGGACTGGATGCTGATAGAGGTTGAGGACCGTTTCAGAGTGAAGGACCGAGGGAGGTTGGAGAGACTCCCAAGGCCCTTGAACTTGAAGAACTCTGGCAGAGGAAGGCAGGGGGTGGGGGAGAAGGGGAAGAAATGAGTTAATGCCAGCAGCAATAATAATTACAATAAAAAATACATGTATTTCTTCTTACTGAGGGTTCAGGGAGGATCAGGGTTTCACTGACACTCCCCATGTTAGGGTGTAACAAGGCTGCAGCTCTAGAGTCACATAGCTCTGAGCTTCCATCCCTGCTCTTCCACATCCTAGCTGTGTGACCTTAGGCAAGTCACTTGACCTTTCTGAGCTCCATTCTCCACATTAGCGAAATAGAGATTGTTGTGCCCACCTCCTGCGGACAGCAGCACTGAAGGAAAATGTAAATAACAGACTTAATACGGTGCCTGGCACCCAGAATCTCCTGGAGAAGTTATGAAGATAATGACAATGCCTCTGTATTGGTCAGATATGCTTCATGCATTACATCACTGAGTTCCCAGCATAACTCAATGACACAAGCTTAATTTCCCTTTTCTACAGATAATGAAGTGGAGGTCAGAGCTGCGGAAAGAACTGCCGGAGATGGCCTTGTGGGCAGGTGAAGCAAGTTTGTGTGATCGTGGGGTGGAGGGAGCAAGGAGGGGCTGTGTGAGCACCTGGGATCGGGGATGAGATGAAAAGGGTGTTGTTGGGAGCCTGGGGGGCCCACTCTCTGAGGTTCCGTCCTTCCTGTCAGCTGAGCCCACAGTTCGGACTCAGACTCAGCGGCAGGGTTTGGGTGATACCATCTCCTCATTTCCGCAGGGGTGGGTGTGAGTTCCCTCCTCCTTGCCTCCAGCTGTGGGGCTGCCCCTCCTCTAAGCCTCTAACCCTCTGACAACCCTCTGGCCTCCAGATGAGTGAAAAGGGCAAACCTGGCATTTTCCACTTCCTAGGGTACCATCTGCCTCCTCAGGTCCTCACCACGAAGTTGGAGTATAGGTGAGATGCTCCCATTGATGAGAAAAGAAACTGAGGCCCAGAGAGGGGAGGGACTTGCCCAGGGTCACACAGCAAGGCTGAGCCTGGGTGAGGGGCTGAGGGCTCTGGACTGCTGGGGTCAGCGTTCTGGGGCTTTCCTCCCAGCCCTGCCCACCCTCGACTTTGGTCTTAGCCTCTGCCTCCTGACAAACACTGTCAGAAAATTCTGAGGCTCTGCTCTAAGAAAGTTATACCATGGGGCAGAAGTGTGCCAATTGCCAGGAGGAGGGCCAAAAACTGCTGTCTCCTGGGCACTGGGGGATCTGGAGGAAACAGTAGTGGGACAGAGAGGGAAACCGAGGCGAGTCCAGGAACCGGGGATTGAGCCCTGCTCCGAAGCCCCATATGATCTCACAAGTCTCTGGGGCCCAGCATTTTCATCTGTGGAATCATCTTAATCCTGGCCTGCACACCCCCACCGACCACCCCGTGCTGTCAACTGTCAAGTTGAAGGACCCGGGGGAAGCAGAAGTTTGCTGAGACCCGGAGGGGACACCGACTTGGGGAAACAGAGCCTTGGTCAGTGTGACCCCTCATCGAGCCGCCCTGGGTCCCAGCGTCACTGCTGGTGGGGGCGTGGGACAGCTTCCCATGGCACACCCATACCCACTCCAGCCCCAGTAACTCCGGCTGAGCCCCCGTGTGAACCAGTTCCAGAGGCAGAGCATGGAACTCGTGGAGGGCTTCCCTTGCCCAGCCCATGAGGTCCAAGAAAACCAGAGATGGACACACCCATAAATGGAGAGGCAGAGACACAGAGACTGGCAGAGACAGAGACAAGAAGCAGAGATGGAGAACCAAACCAGCTGGAGACAGAGAGAGGTACCGGTGCAGAGGGACAGAGGGAAGGCGACAAGGGAACTCTGGAGAGGGACAGAGATGGACAGAAAGAGAAACAGAAACCAGAGAGTGAGAAAGAAGCAATGCAGAGAGAGACTGAGATGGACGGACAGACGGAGAGATGAAGGACAGTGCCAAGGGCACCGTGCACTCACTGAACTTTCTGCTGGCTTTCTTGGGCCCCTCCGTCATCTTGGCAAGTTGTGTAAAGCCCCTGGCCTGCAGGCAAGTGGCGGCTCTCAACAATGGACATCAACGTTGAGGTTTCTCCCTCACCTCCCCTTCCCCTTTCTTGCACCCTCTCGCCGCTCGCTTCCTCTGTGTATTTTTAAACCAGTGAAACTCCCACAGCTCCACCCTCCCCATCCTCTCCACAGGGGGCGGGGGCCAGGGCCTCCCCCATTCCAGGCCCCTGTGGGCTGCCTCCTTGGCCTTGCCCGTGGGGGCAGGGGGCAGACCACAGCCCATGGGACCTGGAGGGCTGGGGAGACAAACCACAGGCCCTGGGAATGGAGCCCACTGGGTGGGGGCTGCGGGGGGGGGAACCTGCCGACAGCTGTCAGGGGGTCTGGCCAGCGGCTGCAAGGGTGCCGGGAGCCAGGCCTGCCCACAGGGCAGTTTGTTCTAAGCCTCAGTGCCTGGAGAAAGACTGGCAGCAGTGAAGCGTGCTGTGGCTAGGCCTGGGGCCCTGGGACCCATCCAAACCCAAGTTCAAATCTTGGCTGGCTACTTTGTCACTGTGTGATCGTGGCTAAGCCGCTGACTCCCCTGAGCCTCGGTTTCCTCACTGTGAGCAGAGGGTATTTGCAATGCCTGCCTCACAGGGTCCAGTTTGGTGCAAAGCCTGGCACAGAATCAGTGTCCACTGAGGATCGAGGCATGGTCATTCCTTTTTATTTATTTTATATATATATATATATATTAATGTTTATTTATTTTTGAGACAGAGTGTGAGTGGGCAAGGGGTGGAGAGAGGGAGGCACAGAATCTGAAGCAGGCTCCAGGCTCTGAGCTGTCAGCACAGAGCCTGATGTGGGGCTCGAACTCACAAACCAGGAGATCGTGACCTGAGCTGAAGTCAGACGCTTAACCGACTGAGCCACCCAGGCGCCCCATGGTCATTCCTTTATAATCCAGTGGGGACCCAGTGAGAATTTGGCCAACCACGCCCATTATACAGAGATGGAGAATCTGGACCACACGGGCAGAGGGACTGCCCCAGGTCATATGGCAGGTTGGTGGCACCGACAGGGTTACATCTCACCCGTCTAGGTCCCTTAGCCCACAGCGGGATTCTTTGCCACCCTACAACATGTGTGCGTGCGCACATGTACGTGTGTATGCTCACATGGGCAGGACAGAGATGAAGAAATGAAACTCACCTACACAGACTGTCCCAGAAACCCGCGGAGGCTGTCAGCAGCTGCAGGGGTTGGGGTGACCACAAGGCCAGGGGCTTCAAATCCCAGCTCTGCGTACTGCAAACAAGTTACTCCTGCCTCTGAAGTCCTGGTCCGCCGATCTCTAGAATGGGCAGAAACGCCACGCACACAGTTAACTCACAGAGGCTCCAGCATGATTGGACGTTATTATCTGGGCCCCCAGGCTGGCAACCGAGCCTATGAGAGAGGGAGTCCAAGGTCAGAGGGGGCCCTTCCTGCACCCTCAGTAAAAATAACAATGACTAACTTCTTCTGATCAGTTAGTACATTCCAGCCGGAAAGCTCAGTCCTTCTGTCCTAAGAGGTAGATGTTGTTTTTCTTGTCCCCATTTTACAGATGTGGAAACTGAGGCTCCCTGAAAGTCAACTAACCTGGAATTAGGACCCACTTGTCCAGCTATGGAGCCTGAGGTCCTAACTTCCACTCCTACATCTCCAGAAACCCCCTGGCAGCTGGGTCATGGGTCCTGGTGGGGGAAGCATGTGACTGAACCTTCTTAATGGGATGAGGGGGAAACTGAGGCCCTGAGGGGAAAAGGGACACAGCCCGAGACATCAGGACGTCAGAGTCCTCACAGACAGACCTGGATGGGAAGAGCGTTCAAAGTTCAGATGAAAGAATGAGGTTTCTGGGTCATGGATTTGGAAAGGGAAGGCCCTTCTACTGAGCTGTGACCATGAGCCAAAGCCTCCAGAGGTCATCCACTGAGTCCCTAGAACCAACCTGTGAGGTGAATGCTGCTACTGTCCCATTTCACAGATGAGGAAACTGAGGCTACAGAGGAACAGAGACTAGACACCCAGGTGTCCTAGCTCCCAGGCCGGTGCTCCCTCCCGCCTCTCGTTGTCAGAAAAGAGAGAGGGGCCTGTGGCTTGGCGGTTGTGAGTGGTCTTCCTCATGGAAGGCAGAGGGTGGTCCCCCTTGGCTCCTCTCCCAGGAGGCAGTCCCGGTGACTTGGGCTAAGTGCTGGGTTTCTGTCACTCTCGCCTCACTGTGTGGCCCTTCACAAGTCACTTTACCTCTTTGGGTCTCAGTTTCTATCTGTGAAACAGGGTCAAAGTAGCTCCCATTTCCAGGGGTTGTTGGGAGCATGAAAAGAGAAAATACTGGCCCAGGCTAGTGCGCTGTGGTCTCAGCAGCCCCCAGTGGTGGTCGTTGCTGAGGGATGGGGTGGTTCAGGCCAGGGGCCGACTGGCGCAGGCCAAGAAGACCTCAGGGGAGGGCACGGGGTGTGAGAGCTGCGAGCCCCTGCCCCGGTGAGGCCGTGTAGGTGAGGCCGAGGTACACCGTGAGTGCTGGGCCAGAGCTGCCATCGGCCCCGGGCGCCAGCGCGATTGCCGCGTCCTTGGGAGAATGAATGGGGCTCAGTGTGGCGGCTCCACTGAGCTCAGAGCCCCCTTTGTGCTGCCTTGAGTGGCCGTTGGGAGTGTGGCTGGGGACCTGCTGGCGGGTGGCTGTCCCCCGGGCCCTCCTCAGCCTGCGTTGGAGGCCGGCCCAGAGCAGCCCATGCTCCACAACCTTGACCACACAAGTGCTTTCCTGCCTCCAGGCTTCTGCTTAGGCCGGACCCACACCCAGAATACTGCCCTTCTGTCCACTGGCTAGAAGTTTTGCCTCTGTGTGGTCGGGGCTCCAGGCCCAGATTGCGCCACAGTGCCCTAGGGAACCTTCCTCTGGTTTCTGCCCCCTCCCTCCTGCCCCATTCCCCCAGTCTGTGACTCCGTTGCCAGCAGTTTGGCCAGGTATGTCATAGTCATAGGCATTGGACCTGAATTCAGACCCCAAGTGCATGACCTTGGGCAAGTCACGTCACCTTTCTGAGCCTCCCTTTTTCCCTTCAGTAAAATGAGGCCAATACAACATCCCTCACACGATCTCGTGGCAGTGAAATAAAACACTTATCCTGCGAGCGTCGTCCATATTACATTCACTTGCGTCTTTATTTGCATGTTCCAAACAGACCTCACGCTCCCCGAGGGAGGAATTTGCCCGACACATCTGTACCAGCCCCATGCCCGCTGTAGGTCTTAGTCTTGCCCCGGCTCGATCCTTAGTCAGGTCCTGAGGGTGGTGTAGGCTGGTGGTGAATGACCCTGGGTTTCGGAAGCAGAAACGTGGCTTTGAATCCCAGATTTATGACTTCCTGGTTGTGTGGCCTGGTGCGGGCCAGATCGCCACTCTGAGCCTCGGTTTCCTCTTCTGTAACTTGGGCCCAATACTAGCAAGCTCCTAAGAGGGGAGCTACAAAGCTCCAAGGAAACAACACATATTGGCACAGGGCTGGGTACTGAGTCAGCACGCAGCTCGTGTGGACAGAATAGAATGTCCGTGGCGAACAGGGCTGCAAGCATCACACCACCATCCTCTCTCTGATGTTTCCCTATCCAGTGCCCCTTTCTCTCCCGGGACGTACGAGCAGCCTCGATCAGCCCACCATGAGGCTGTCTTCTCCTTTCCTCCATATGTCCCCCAACCCCGTTCCTGCTCAGGCGAGAAAAACAGAAGGTCTGGGCCGGAGTCAAGCAGCAGGCCAGTGACTCCCTCTTCTACTCTGGGCCTCTGTTTCTCTAACTGTTAAACGACAGCAGGACGAGAGGCTCTCACAGAGTCCAGTGAGTTAGTCAGCAAACATTTACTGAGTACTGGCCATGTGCTTGGCTTTGCAGGCTTAGCTGATCCGCGGAAGCAGGAAACATTTTCCTCAAAGTAGCAACTCAGAAGTCAGCCGGTAGGAAATCATTTCCAGCTATAGGACCTAATTTCTTCACACTTCCCCCTGGATGATCCGGGACCCTGTGCCTGGGCAGCGTGGGTAGCCTTCCAAAGAGCTCCTGGCTGCTTCTGCCAGGGGAAGCTGAGGCCCCAAAGCTCGGAGGGGAAGTGATTGGCGGATGTTGGGGTTCGGGGTAGGGGCGGTGGGGTGGAGGTGACAACATCACCGTAACATCTGCTGAGGCGTCTGCCCACAGGATGTGACTTAGGCAGAGCTCGTGGGAAACAGGCAGTGGACCCACCCGGGCTGAGAATCTGATGGTGGAGGCCACCCAAAACCATGGTAGGTCCCCAATACTACTGTCCCCTCCCATTCCTCCCCTGGGCATCCAGGCTACCCAGGCCAGCAGTCCTGTGTCGTGGCTGTGCCCTAGCTCTGCCCGCAGCCCAGATGGGTGGGGGCCCTGATGCGGCCAAGTGCTTGGGGTTTTGCGCCAGACTGACCTGGTTCACATACCAACATGGCTGCTGGTCAGCTGTTTGACCCCGGCCAGGCGATGTTACCTCTGCGTTTCAGTGTCCTTTATGTGTACAGTGGAGGTGAAAATAGTACCCATCTTGTATAGCTGAGTGAGAAGTGAATTATCATAAAGTGCTGAATGTATGCGTTGGACCATTTATTTTGCCTCAAAAACTCGTAATTGCTACAGTTATTAGCGTTTTTTCCCTCCTTGCCCTCCCCACTCCCAATTTAGCCAACGGCCTCCCTGCTTCCACAGTGTACCCATGAAGCTGACCCCAGATCTCTCCCTGACCCATCTCCTGACTGCCTAAAACCCTTGATGGCCTCACACTCCCTCAGGAGGGGGCTCGCTGCCACTTGGCTGACCCTTGAGGCCCTCCCCCAGGACAGGGCCTCCATGGACACCAGGATCGCCAGACCTGCAAGGCCACGCTGTGGGGAGTAAGAGGTGCAGGGCCACCCTGAGGGCTTCCTGCAGGGAGACAGGAAACAGGGTGCCATTGAGGGGCACAGCCCTGAAGGCAGGAAGGTCCAGGGAGTTAGGAAACAACATGAGGGAGAATCCTGCGGCCACAGCCTGGGAGGGAGCTGGAAAGAGCCTCCAATATCACAACTTGGGTTTTCCTGAAGACAGAGAATGTAGAAAGCACAGCTTTGCTATGGGCTGATTGTTGAGTAGAGCTGGAGGAAGGATCGAGAGGCTCGTGGAGGTGGGAAGAGAGCAGGAAGATGCCCGGGGAAGGGGTGTAGCAGGGGAAGGGGGCACAGGGTCAGAGAAGGAGATGGGTGGTGGGCTTGGTGCCTGGCATGACAGCAGGCCTCAAACAAGCACACTGTATCCCTGGCTACACTGTAAATAGATGGACTCAGGAGAATCCTCTTCAGAATCAGACAGACCAGGTTCCAGTCCCAGCGCTTTCACTCTGTGACCTTGGGCAAATGACCTCACTTCTCTGAGTCTCAATGCCCTCTTCTGTAAAGTGGGTTAGTGATCCTGACTATCAAGCGGTTGATTCAGGATTCAGCAGGAAAGCCCAGCAATTCCTGAGCACACGGGGGTTCGGAGTGAACACTAGCTATTTTTGTAATTACTGACCCGGGGTTGACCAGCTCGGGCACAGCTGGTGGGGGACTGGGCTCCCGTGGGCCTCATCCTTGCCTCCCAGGGAACAGGGGGTCCAGGGCTGGAAGGCCCAGGCGTAGCTCTTCCGCCGCCTCCAGTGTCGCCGCGCCCCCTAGCGGCCGTCGGTTGCCATGTCAACGGCGGGTGGCTGAGGCCCGGGGAGGCGGCGGCGGGGGCCGTTCTCTCCTCCCAGGACCAGAGGCCGCTCCCTCGGCGCCTCCCGCCTTCGCCGGTGGAGGGGCACTCTGAGCCGGGGAGAAAAGGACTCTCCGCAGCAGCTGGCATGTGGGGGTAAACTGAGGCACGCGGCGAGGCGCCCCGCAGCCAGGTGTGGAGCGCGGGGCCCCACCTCCGAAGGCGGAGGAGGGGCCGCGGGCGGTGACGCGCCGAGGGCGGCCGGCGGACAGCGGGCGGGCGGCGGCGGCGGCGGCAGGTGCGGCCGCGGAGGGTGGGAGGGAGGAGGGAGGGGGCGGGCGGAGGGGGAGGGGAGGGCGAGGCCGGGGCACCTCCCCCTTTATAACGCGCCCCCTCCCGGGCTCTCCGGCCGCCTCCTCGTCGGCTCTTTCCGTCTCGCCCCCTCGCCCGGCCGCCCCGGGCCCGGGCCCGGCCAGGGAGCCCCCAGGCCGCGGCTCGGGGGCCACCACCCCCCCCACCCCGCCCGCCGCTCCGCGCAGCCCGGCGGAGGCGGTGCCGTCGGAGGAGGAGGAGCAGGGCACTGCGGCTGGCCCCGGATCGGGCGCCAGAGCGGCAGCGGCTTCGGCAGCAGCGGCGACCCGGGCCGATGCAGCGGGACGCACCGCCCCGAGCCCCAGCCCCGGCGCCCCGGCTCCCCGCGCCCCCGATCGGGGCCGCTGCCAGCAGTGGTGGCGGCGGAGGCGGGGGCAGTGGCGGCGGCGGAGGCGCCTCTGCAGCTCCGGCTCCTCCTGGCCTCCCGGGAACTACAAGTCCCAGGGGGCCTGGCGGCGGGCGGCGGGCGGAAGAGGCGGGGTCGGCGCCGCGAGGCCGGAAGTGGCCGTGGAGGCGGAAGTGGCGCGGCCGCGGAGGGGCCTGGAGCACGGCGGCTGGACCCGGAGCGGGAGCGGCGGCGGCGGCGGCGGCGGCGGCGGCGGCGGCTGGGGGCGGCGGCGGCGGCGCACTGGAGGCAGCCATGGCAAAGCAGTACGACTCGGTGGAGTGCCCCTTTTGTGATGAGGTGACCAAATATGAGAAGCTCGCTAAGATCGGCCAAGGCACCTTCGGGTAAGGCTGCGCCCCCGGGGGACCGGGAGCCCTGGGCCTGCAACCCTCAGGGCCGACGTCGGGACGCCCAGGGTCGGACCCAGCGTGGTCGGGAAGCCACAGAGCACCAGACTTGTCCTCTGGTCTCGCTAGGCCGCGCCGCAGCCCGCCTGGGCCCGACGGAGCCGGCTGGCGGGGAGGAGCCTGAGGCCCGTGATGGGGGGCGGGGAGGGGTTGCAGAGAGGAGCCTGCGAGCGGAGCGGACTCTCCAAGAGAAGCCGGGTTGAAGAGGCCAAGGGAAGGAAGTAGAGGCTTGGAGAGGGACCAGGGACCGTAGATAGTCGGGGGGAGATGGGGGGGAGAGTAGGCTAGTGCCCTGGGTACCTGGCCCAGCCCTGCCCGGGGAATCCCTTTTTTCTTCCCTCCTCCTCAGGTGGGGGAGGGGCGGGTCCAGCAGAAACGGCCTGATGAAACCTCTTGGGTCCCCCTCTCGGCCTGCAGGGAGGTATTTAAGGCAAAGCACCGTAAGACCGGCAAAAAGGTGGCTTTGAAGAAAGTGCTGATGGAGAACGAGAAGGAGGGGGTGAGTAAGGGCGGGGCGGGCGGGCCTGCGGGCTTCCTCTGGGCGCCGGGTTGGGTTTCCACCCTACTTCTGCTAGGGCTTTCACGTCGGGAGTCCGTGGAGGTGTGGTAGTTTGGGAGTTTCCGTATTCCAGGGAATTTGACTTCCCAGTTAAGTTTTTTTGTTCAAATGTTTTAGAGCCTTTAATATTTCATATTTAGGTAAATACGGTTGGGGCCAGGAGGGGGAGCCCATGCTTGCAGAGTGCGCCTCGGTTCCTCAAGTTAGGAAGCTTTTAAACACTCTTGACTTCGCGTTTGTTTTGCGTAGCATTAAAAGAAATTCCATGCAGTGGCCTTACGAGGGTGACTGGTACTCCGCTGAAAAGGAACAGTCCCTTCCCATACCTCGTTTTAGCTGTAGTCCAGCTTCCCAGAGACCTGATTCTTAGCAAGGAAATTTCTTTATAGCTGCTTTTGTTCCCACCTAGTAGGTTACACACAGGCATAGAACTGACTTTAAGGGTTGTAGAAACAGTGGAGCATTTAGTGACCAGCAGGGTAGGGTTAAGTACCACCGTCTCAGTTCATTGTCACAAGCCAGTTCCTTGAGGGCTGCGTGCTACTTTTAACACCCATTTTACAGAAAAGACCTCTGAGACCGCTGGACTCTTCTTTACAACCCGTGCCCCTTACTCTTGGCTTGTTTGTGGGTCTGTAGTTCCCTCACTCACCTTTGAACCCCCCTCCTTTCTTTCTTTCACTCAGTTCCCCATCACAGCCCTGCGGGAAATCAAGATCCTCCAGCTTCTAAAACACGAGAACGTGGTTAACTTGATTGAGATCTGCCGAACCAAAGGTAAGTTGCTGGGATCGTATCCCCGTCTTCAGATGGGGAAAATGAGGCTTAACAGCCTAAGGCTTTGTTTGCAAAGTTGGAAGTGGACGTGCTTAAATTGCCTCCTCTTAACCCAGACATACCGACTGTGACTGCTTTCTCGGGTCCTTTTGTCATAGCTCTTGCTGCCCCGGGGGCTGCCACAGCACCTGGCCCAGAGGAGGCACTCAGCAAAGAGTTGGCCAGTGAAGGAATGCACAGCTGGATATCCGAGTGTCCGTGGGCTGGAAGGGTAGAAGCTGGCTGTGGGCAAATGAGTTGCACATGGGGTTTTTTACTTTCTTTTCCTCACCCCCTTCCCCATTCTTCCCGCCTTAGCTTCCCCCTACAACCGTTGCAAGGGCAGTATATACCTCGTGTTTGACTTCTGCGAGCATGACCTTGCCGGGCTGCTGAGCAACGTCTTGGTCAAGTTCACACTGTCTGAGATCAAGAAGGTCATGCAGATGTTGCTCAACGGCCTCTACTACATCCATAGAAACAAGGTGGGGGTCCGAACGGGGGAAGGGACCGAGGCTTGGGGTGGCCTCTGCTCCCACTGCTGGGCGGGTGTGCCTGGAGGCCCTCGGAAACCTGATCGGGCCCTCTTGCGCTTCCTGCAGATCTTGCACAGGGACATGAAGGCAGCTAACGTGCTCATCACCCGCGATGGGGTTCTGAAGCTGGCAGACTTCGGGCTGGCCCGGGCTTTCAGCCTGGCAAAGAACAGCCAGCCCAACCGCTATACCAACCGTGTGGTGACGCTCTGGTACCGGCCACCGGAGCTGTTGCTCGGTGAGGACTCCGGAGCGGGCGGAGGGGGGCAGGGGCTGGCCACTTACCCGGCCTCAGTCCCCCACTGCCAGGGCTTCTTGAGCCGCCGGCCCTGGGGCATTGTGTCTCAGGAGGCCCTCGGGCTCAAGGGGCCCTCCCGGTGCGCTCTTCTTCCCAGGGGAGCGGGACTACGGCCCCCCCATTGACCTCTGGGGTGCCGGGTGCATCATGGCGGAGATGTGGACACGCAGCCCTATCATGCAGGGCAACACGGAGCAGCACCAGCTTGCCCTCATCAGCCAGCTCTGTGGCTCCATCACCCCCGAGGTGCGTGACCAGGCTGCAGGTCCCCAGGGTCCCCACAGGAAGCAGAGATCCGGAAGTCCTCCTGGCAAGGGAGGAACAGGGAGTGGAGTGGAAGGAAAGCCCTGGAGAGGTGGCCAGTGGAGGGACAGGGCCTGGTCTTTGGAGCCGCACAGGCAGTGTTCAGCTCTCGCCCCCATCACGGTTCTGTGGCCTCGGGGAGGGCATTTGAATCCCTCACCTCAGAATTGAGTTTTCTCTTCTGTGAAACGACGACATCCATATCGGGCTTGGTGAATACATTGTAGGTGATTTGTGTAAAAGGGCTCGGCACTTGGTATGTGCCGGAGACACTGGTCACTGCTGCTCCACACCCTGGAGCAGTCAAGTTCGCCCTCCGGGGGTGGTCTGGGAGCATCTGAGAGGTGAAGTTTTAGTCCCTTCAGGTGCCTAACCAGTGGACAAAGCCACGCGCCCCCTGAATTGACGCCATCCTCTCCCCATGCCTCCCGCCCAGGTGTGGCCCAACGTGGACAAGTACGAGCTGTTTGAGAAACTGGACCTAGTCAAGGGCCAGAAGCGGAAGGTGAAGGACAGGCTGAAGGCCTATGTGCGTGACCCCTACGCGCTGGACCTCATCGACAAGTTGCTGGTGCTGGATCCCGCCCAGCGCATCGACAGCGACGACGCCCTTAACCACGACTTCTTCTGGTCCGACCCCATGCCCTCGGATCTCAAGGGCATGCTCTCCACCCACCTGACGTCCATGTTCGAGTACCTGGCGCCACCACGCCGAAAGGGCAGCCAGATCACCCAGCAGTCCACCAACCAGAGCCGCAATCCCGCCACCACCAACCAGACGGAGTTCGAGCGTGTGTTCTGAGGGCCGGCTGCCGGCGCTTCGCATTAGGGCAGTTTTGGTTTTTCTCCTGCTGTGTGACTTGCGTTGTGGAGGTCACGGGGCATTTGAGTTTTCTCTAGTGCTTTATTTTATTTAATCCCCACCCTGGGCGCCAGGAAGGCCAGCCGAGTGGACTGGAGGAAAGCTTTGGCTACAAGCCCAGGATGGCACGGGGGCTGCCTCCGCTTGTCCCCTGGCGTTCAAGATGATCGCCAGAGGGTCTCTGTTTACTTTCAGACAGGATCGGGGTGGGAGGAGAGGCACGCCCCGCCAGTGACTTTCAGAGTGTTCCCAGCGTGACCGGAGGAGGGGACAGGCCCCTCGCCCACCGCCAGCCCTTCCTCTCGAGATGAGAAACTTGGCGTGGGGGACAGAATTGGGCTCGGGAACGGGCCGGTCTCGGCCCAACCGTCCGAAGCTCCGGGGCTGGCAAGGACTTGGTTTCTTTAATACAACATTTTATCGTGTTTTTTTTTGTTCGGTTGTTGGGAGGCGTTCCTGGACGCACTGTTTGGTCAGTTACAATTAAAGTTGACTCTTTTTTTTTTTTTTTTCCCCCCCAGTAAGTGGTTATGTGCTGTGTTCTGTGTTCAGACCGCCAGCTCTTAACCCTGTGGCCAGCACGTTGGGCCTAACTGTTGAGGTTTGACTTGTCAACTCTTGGCTCTTTTCTTCATCCCCGTTCTTGTCTCCGGACATAACTGCAAGGGACCTTTTTTTTTTTTTTTTCTTTTGAGTACCTTCCAGAACACCTGTCATGACGCTCCCTTCGTCCTCCCCACTCAGTGTCAGGGGAAAAGGGAAGACAGGTGAAACAGGGTGTCAGTTCCCTGGAGAGGGGACCCGGGAGGGTCCGCGGTCAGCTGCGTCTGTAGCAGTGACCCCATCCGCTGTGGCTGACGGACGGGTCCACACTTGACTCACGGGCGCCGGAGGCCGCAGAAAGCTCTTAATCAGAATGGCCGCCGTTAGATGCGCAGCTTGCGAAGGGCCCTCGGGCTGCTGCGTAGTGGGTGGCCTAGGGGAGGCGAGAGAAAGAACCAGAGCAGTTTAAAGGATCTTTAGGGGCTCGGGAGGTGGCAGCCGCCTGGATTAGGATGGGGAGTGGGCAGGCAGGAGGACAGAGCCGTGTGCCAGCTGGAGTGTCAGGCCTGGGAGGTGGACTCCTTGGACAAGAAGCACGTTCTGGCGGATACGTCTCCTGTGAGCGTGAAGCTGAGGAAAGACATTGGAGGCAAATTTTTTACACTCTGGTCACAGGCAGAGGCCTTTGGAAAGGAGTCCCCAAAGGAAGATCAGCAAAACCTCTTCCCAGAACTGTCCCTGCAGAAACGGACCCAGATCTCAGCTCCACGAAAGGCCAGAAGTAAAACCAAACACACCACTTGACTGGCGCCTTGAGTGCTCAGGGCTGCTGTAGGGAATCACACGGACTGGCTGGTTTACAACAGACACGTGTTCTGTCAGGGTTCCGGAAGCTAGAAGCCTGAAATGCAGGTGTCAGCAGGGTTCGCCAATGCGGCTCTGCGAGAGAATGTTCCACGCCTGTCTCCTAGCGCCTGGTGATGGCTGCCAGTCCTTGGCTTTCCTTGGCCTGTAGATGTGCCTCTCGGGTCTGCGTCCCTGCCTCCATCTGCACCGGGTCGTCGTCCTTCTGTGTGCGGCTGTCTCCCCGATGAGGACCCCGGTCACTGGATTTCGGATCCATCTTGGTCCAATATGATCTCAAGCTACACGCGCAAAGACCTTTCCAAATAAGGTCGCGTACTGAGGCTCCAGGTGGACATGGGGTTTACTCTGCTCCATGCAGCTAGGAAGGAAGCAAATCTATTTGGAAACGATGGCGAGGGGTCCTAATGGCTGTCGAGTCAGTAGGTTTTGAGTGACCTGATGAGGCAAAACTCCCGGGCCTGGCCGAATGGTTCAAGGCGCGGTCTTTTTCTCCAGAGGCTAAAAAGCTTCTCCAAAAGAGGCTCATGTTCTCCGACCCAGCAATTGACAGAAGTTTCCATTGACGCTCAGTGACAGCCGGTTACCTCATCGAATCCTCCCTACCGTCCTGATAGTGTCGTTCCTTCGTTCGCTTATTTATGGTCTGTCTGCCGTGGACCAGACTTCTAGACTCGACACAGCTACGAAGCAGTGGGCGCTCCCACCTCTATGCAACTCACATTCTAGTAGGTTCAAACTAGTCCGATGCGGTAAACTGCGGGGAAAACCACAAAGTGGAATGAGAGGGGAAAAGAGTAGGGGGCAGTTGAGGGGCTCTGGGTGACAGGAGCAGAGATCCCAAGAGAAAGGGGGTGTCGGTGGGGGTGTCGGGTGGCACCAGTTCCAGACCCGAGGCTAGGAGGCTTTGAGAGAGCCTTGTGCGGGCGGGGTGGGGGGGGGTGCACAGCGTTTTAAAAAGTTGCGGTGACACAGGGCGCCTTCGGCTCAGGTCGTGATCTCACTGTGAGTTCGAGCCCACATTGGGCTCTGTGCTGATAGCTCAGAGCCTGGAGTTGCTTCGGATTCTGTGTCTCCCCCTCTCTGCCCCTCCCCTGCTCATGCTCTTTCTCTCAGAAATAAACATTGGGGCGCCTGGGTGGCTCAGTCAATTAAGCATCTGACTTCGGCTCAGGTCTTGATCTCACGGTTTGTGGGTTTGAGCCCCGCATCTGGCTCTGTGCTGACAGCTCAGAGCCTGGAGCCTGCTTCAGATTCTGTGTCTCCCTCTCTCTGACCCTCCCCTCCTCATGCTGTCTCCCTCTCTCTCAGAAATAAATAAAACATTGGGAAAAAAAAATAAACATTAAAAAGAACTTTAAAAGGTCGCAGTGACTATGTTGAGACAAACTTGGGCAGAGCTGGAAGCAGGGGGAACAGCTGAGGCTGCTGGAATAGTCTGGACCCGAGGTGGCGGGGGCTCAGACCAGGTCATTAATACAGCCAGTGGCGAGCGCGTTGATTTATGGGTGGCCGCGAGGGCAGTTGTATTTCCAGGTTGGATGTGAGTGTGAAGGAAGGGAGCTGAGAGTCCCGGGCTTTGCTGGAGGGACGAAGGGGCTTCCATCCCTTGAGACCGGAGGCTGAGGGAGATGGGGCCGGCGCACTGGTGGTGGCTCAGCATGGTGAGATGGAGACGGCAGATGGACATCCAGTTGAGTGGGCAGGTGTTTGTCTAAAGCTGGCTCAGGGCCCCCGGAATCTGGGCTGGGGGCACACCTCTGGGAGCTGCCAGCACAGCACGGTGGTTTGTAAAAGCCCAAACAGGAGGAGAGCATGTGTCAAGAGTGGAGAGAACAAGAGACTGTGACCCCGGGCCCTCCAGTGTTCAGACATCCTCAGAGAATCAATAGCAGCAACCAATGAGGTAAGAAGGGATCAGAGAGGCTTTTCTTTTTTTTTTTTTTAAATGTTTGTTTATTTTTGAGAGCGAGAGACAGGCAGAGTGTGAGCGGGAGAAGAGAGAGCAAGGGAGAGAGACAGGCAGAGTGTGAGCGGGAGAAGAAGAGAGAGCAAGGGAGACCCAGAATCCGAAGCAGGCTCCAGGCTCCCAGCTGTCAGCATGGAGCCCAATGTGGGGCTTGAACTCCTAAACCGGGAGATCATGATCTGAGCCGAAGTTGGGCCCTTAACCCACTGAGCCACCCAGGCGCCCCAGAGGGAGAGGGTGTTCTGGGGAGGAGGGAGTGGTCGCCTGGATGAGCACAGCTGATGGGTCCAACGATGGGAGTGAGGGCTGCCCGACAGGCATAGCCACGTCGGGGTCCGTGGTGGGTGTTTCAGAGGAAGGCCCGCCGGGAACAGCAGGATTATGGGAGAACGGGACCTACTGTAAAGAAAGATTAGGGGGGCCCCTGGGTGGCTTAGTCGGTTGGGCGTCTGACTTGATTTTGGCTCAGGTCATGATCTCATGGTCATGGGCTCGAGCCCTGTGTTGGGCTCTGCACTGAGCATGGTGCCTGCTTAAGATTCTCTCCGTCCCTCCTCTGCTCGAGCGCTCCAAAAACAAAAAAACTAAGAAAGATTAGGGATGCAGCTAGTCTTGGATAGTCTGAAATAAGAGCCTGGACACCGTGGAATGACCCAGTATATGTTGTTGATTCTCGTCCTGAAGACAGAGGGCCGTATGGCCAGGTGTACAGGGGCCACACGATGTCTGTAACCTCAGGCTACACCCCTCATCCGTTCTCTGCTCCCTCCTCCGAGTGTGTCCATGATGTTCAGGGCAGCCCCGTGTGTGGAAAAGCTGGGGGAAACCTCCCTGGGCCTGCGTAAATCAAAGCAGCTCTTCACCTCCAACACCTGTCCAAATCCATGACTCCAGGGTCGGGGTGGGTGCCTCTAACAGGCTGACTGGCGAGTCCCACGCTGCTGGTCAGGGGTCTGGAATAGGATGCTACGTAGCTGGCAAAAAGGATGTGGACGGGACATGTGCGCACTGGGACAGAAAGCTGTTCCAGAAACAACAGGTGGAAAGAGCAGGTTACAAAATACCTGTTACCTGAAATCATTTTATGAGCAAAAGAATCACATTAAACCATTGTCCAGGGTTTTTCTGGATGGTTTTGTCCGTCATGTTCCCCTGTTTTCTCCTACTTCCTTACTTAATAATTTTACACCTGTATTCAAACCGTATCTGAAAACAACAAAGCAGGCCCCAAGCCCTGGAGCTGCGGGCTCTAGGCTCCCCAAGCACAGAGCACCCCCAGAGAGACCTGGACTAACCAGCCTCACACCCTGGGGAGCTGGATGCATCGGCCCGTCTTTGAAGGGAGCTGCGTGGCCTGAAAGAAGCTCCCAGAGGGCAGGGCCTTATGGGGCATTGCCCTGAGGCACGTAATGGAGCGCCAGGCATCTGCGAGTCTCAACCACTCCCTGGAGTCCGCTCGCAATGCAGGTGGTTGAAGAGGCCGGGTCGCACCGGTGGGGAAGGCCTTCACCAGCTCCTTCGGGCAGGCCCTCCGTGTCACCCTGCAGGCCAGGAGCTCAGTCTGTGGCCTGGCTCCTTTCTGAGCAGATGATTTGGTGAAACACAGCCTCTCCCCCTCTGTAGGCTCTGACTCCCCAGGTCGAGGGTGCCCGAGTGCCCTGCCCCTGGTCCGCGGGGACCCCAGCCTGGCAAAGCCCGAACTGTAAGGGGAGATGGGCCCGTGATAAGAGGCCAGGTAAGGCCAGCCCTGCTCTGCAGGAAGCCCAGCCCCAGGGTCTGGAAGTCTCCCAAGTGGCCCCTTCCCTCAGCAGCCCCCACCTTTCCACTCACCTTTAACCTCTGCTAGGTGGTTCTTTAACTTGGGCGATTCAGCTGAGAGGTCCCTCCCTGGGCAGATCCCAGGATGAGCACAAGCACCTATCAGGTGAGGCCTGCCTCCCTGCACACGGGGAGGCGCGGGCCATCAGGCGGGCAGAGGGACCCCCTGCCCGCCGCCACCGACTCCCCTTCCTTTCTGTGGCCCGGTTGAACCCCGGGCGGGGCAGGCTCGACAGAGGTGCCCCCCCCCATGAGTCACTTTGTGCCCAGCCCCGCTGGGGTGCGGGAAGCCCAGGGACGAAAGGTACCAGGTT